ACAAAATCCGGAAATGGGACGGCCGTGCGGATTTTGCCCTTAAATTTCACACGGCCGTCCGAAAATTCAAGGGGCTACTGCCCAAAACGCAAAAGGGCACGGCCGTGCGGATTTTGCCCTTAAATCTCGCACGGCCGTGCGAAACTTGAAGAGGGTACTGCCCAATTTTGAGAAAGGGCACGGCCGTGCGGATTTTTCACCTAAATTTCGCACGGCCGTGCGAAAAAAAAAAAAAAAAAAAAAAAAAAAAAAAAAAAAAACAATTTCCATAATTTCAAATCCTCTCTCTCCCCCACTTCGAACCCTAGCCTTCCTTTTTCGAAATTTTCCCTTTTCTTTGACAAATTTCACCGAAAATTTACCAACTACACACATATAATATGTAATCAAGGTGGTTTGTTGTTGATTTGCGCCAGTACCCGAGCTTTCGGATGATGAAGAAGATGGTGACGCTCATGCGCAAGGTGGAGTTGGTGAGCAACCCGACGATGGTCCCGACGCTTAAACAGGTGTTTTCTATCCTTAAACTCCGGGCGAATCACATTGAGGGCAATGTGAATTTTAAGTTTGGGGGTGGTTAACTATTGTTTTCTTTTATGTGCGCCCTATTTATGTTTTACTTTTTTTTTCTCTTTGTTAGTTGCATGCTTTTGTTTTAGTTATCGTTTTATTTATTCCCGTTTTTTATTATTTGCTTTGAAAAAAAAAAAAAAAAAAATTTTGCTTGAGTCGAAGGCATCTATGATTTATGATGATGAGAAATGATCAATGTTTGATGATGAAATTACTTGTTTTGTGTGATAAGGACTTGATGTTTGTTTAGCTTTCGATTCAACGGGACTTAGAAGCGAATTATTGCTAGGAATCACATTTTGTGCATTGCTTTGGTTGAATGTTTTGAATTTTAAATTTGGAATTAATTTGTGCTAGATCATGCTATGTTCGGTTTTAAGACTCACCTTAGGAAATTTATGATACGAAGTATTGAGTAGTGAGTGATTTGGGATATGATTTGGGCCTTCTTTGAACCGTTTGAGCCTTTCAAGCCGACCTTTTTATCGAAATATTCCTTAGAACCTTGATTTGAGCCTTGGAGAAAAGGTGTTCTTTCTTTTAGCCATATGTGTAAGGTAGAATAGGTGGAGATTCTTGAAAATTACCCCTTGGAGTTCGATCGAAAATTTTTAAGGTCCTTCTTCTTCTTCGGATTAAAAAAAAAAAAAAAAAAAAAAAAAAAAAAAAAAGAAAAAAAGAAGAAGAGGAGACTAGAAGGGAGAAATAAGGACTAGTTGTTGAATTATTTTTGAAAACTCAATCCATTGCCTCAAAAGCAAAAGTGGAGACTTTTGAACTTTTGAGAATCGAGTTTATTAGAGTCCGTAGAGGTGAATTCATTGTTTCAAACGCCTATCTTTCAAATTTTGGCGTAATCACCTAAATTCAAGAAGAATAGCCACATATACCCATATTTCCTACCTCGAACCAAAGAGCCTAACAATTGAAAGCCACAAAGCCCCAATGATCCCAATAGCTTAATGTTCGATATTAGTAGAGTAGAATAATTTGGTGAGTATTTGGAGTCAAGCATATGCATGTAAGTATAAATTTTCTCTATTTTTAACTTGCAAATATGGGATACTTGAAGCAATTGTATGATTTGTGGTTTTTTGTAATGGTGAGTGACTAAGTGTTGTTGAATTTTGAGCTTGCGAATGTCTAAGGAATTGTCATTATAATTACAAGTTCTGAAAACGTGAAGTTGATCATTGATCTATGTGATGAGATGTTATCGTTGAGTTATTTGCTTATTGGTAGATTTTTGCTTGAGGACAAGCAAAAGTTCAAGTTTGGGGGTGTGTTAAGTGTATATTTTTACACTTTATCGTATCTTTTTATTTGAGCTTTTGGTGTGTTTTAACGATAATTGGTGCTTAAAAAGTTGATTTATTGTATTTTAGGTACAAATTGAAGAATTGGAAAAGTATGGGGTCAAAACTGCAATTTTGGAGAAAATATGGGCCAAAAGTGAAAAAAGCAGAATTCTGGAGAATAGACCGCGCGGCCGTGCGGATTTTAGGCATAAATCTCACACGGCCGTCCGGATGGGCGAGTTGGCGCAGTGAGGGAATCTTAATTGTACAAGGAAACTGCCTTCTTCCCCAAGTTTTTCACCCTATATAAGACCAAGCCAAGCACACAATTAGCAATCCATCTTTTTACGCAATTTCAAGGGCCACAAAGCAATAACGAAGACGAAGAATTCGAAGACTTCAAGCAAAGATTTATCGCCTATGATTTATTTTATTTGCGTTTTTGCTTTAATCATGAGTAGCTAAATTACTTGTTTCTAGGATTTTATTTGGAACCCTATGTGGGATTTATGAACCCAATTCTATGATTTTATGCAAGTTTTAATTCCGGATTATTTCTTCTACTTGTTTTATTAAGTTCATGAAACTGGCCACTTTATGTGCTTTTATGTTATTGTTAATCGCATGAATCGGAAGATCGGGTTAATAATTAGAACTGTGGTAGAAGAGCCTTTGTGGTATTAACATAGGAATATAGTTGATCTCTTAGGTAGCCATTATTGAGATTTGTGCTTAATGCTGTGTTCTAGAATTAATTGCATAGGAATATAGTAATTGAATCTAGAGTATTAGAATTGTAATACACGCGGAAGCGGGTTATGATTATTTTAGCATCTCAGGTTAATAATCCGGGTTAATTGCTTGCATAATTGAAGGAATTGGGGGAGTAATAATCACATAGGGGAAAGAATAAAATCCTAGGCTTGTCTACTTTGATTAATCCTCGTTTTAAATTGCTTTCTTGTTTTTGCTTGCTTTTCGATTGCTTTAGTTTAATTTAATTTATTAATCCTTATTCGACTGTGTAGGGTGGGCTTGATAATAATTGGTAGAATTTAGCGTCTAGGATTAGATAATTAAATATTCCCTGTGGGTTCGATATCCGGACTTAATTGTCCACTATATTACTTGTACGATACGTGCACTTGCGTGTAGGTTTTCGACCAACACAACTCACATTTCCCGAAGCTGGAACGCTTGATCCTCCGGTACTGCTACGTGTTGGGAGATATCCCCGAAAGTATTCGATACGTAGGTGGGCTTGAGCTGGTCGAATTGGTCGAGTGCAGCCCTGCTTGTGTGGATTCGGCGCTGGAAATTAGTGAATATGCGGAGAAAAATGGAAACGAAAACCTTAAAGTTCGAATCTATTCTTCATGGGAATAGAGTCTTCCGATCCGATCCGCATCTAGTATGCAAAAGTTGTAGTCGGTTCGTTCCCATTCTTAGTTCAGACGTGGCCACGGTCTGAACCCTGTATGGGAACTGACCGTGGTCAATGCGACGGTTAACTGATCCTAGATCAGTTAACCGTCAAGTTTGAATAAATTTTTATTTGTAAATCTATATATGAATGGTAAGATGACTTTATGCTGTAAAACATATATTGCTTAGCCAAACTCCAGATGAGATTAGTATTGATTGGGATTTTTTTATACAGAGTCATTTAGCTTTCCACATCAATTATTGTTATCATCACACACACACACACACACATATATATACACAGACCATATCTTCTGGTATCCTTAGTCCTTACTGTTTCAAGACAAGGAAGAAAGTAAATGATAAATTAAATTAAACTTATATAACAATTTTAATTAATAACATAAATTTCATCAAAGATTTCAATGCGATCGAGTATTTTTAGGCAACCAGTAAATTCGAAACCATCGAATGTATAAGTTATAACAGCACATAAACACAAAGAAGTTATATAAAATTGTACAAATTCAAATCCGAGGTCTTTCACGCATATTTCTTACAAATTCTCCAAACCAAACAGAGCGTTAAGCATACGAATCACAATATTACCCTGCATTAGGAAAAAAAAGAAAATGAGCTATTGTCAATTAAATTGTAGTTGCAGTTTTTTCCAGTTCCAGCATTTGTATAAACAATGTAAATGATAAATAATTCGAAAACCTCGACTCAGTATAGTATCGGAATTGAATGACGATTATAACCTGGAAGATTGTTGCATGCAGGCTGTCATATATCCCATGTAGAATGGATAGTGAGATCTAGTGGGCGTCTACGACAATTATATTTGCCGTCCAAATCTTTCTTTAACTGCTTTGCACTGGCCATAGCATGATGGTTGCAATCGACTATTTCAATGGTCTGAAGTTCTTCACCAAATGCATGAGGAATCTCATCTAACTTGTAGCAATGTCGTATGCCAAGCCACTTGAGCTTATCGAGACACTGATGATCTTCGACTGTCCAATTCACTAGGTCAGTGTCTTCAATTTGAAGCATTTCAAGCTGTCGGAAGTCATTCTTGTGAACTTGCCACTTTGGGCCGTGGAAGGCATAGCAATGTAATTTTAGTATTTTGAGATTTGGCAATGATGAAATCATGCTCGTATCTTCCCACGGATATCCTAAGCCGCTCAAAGTTAAATCTATAAGAGTTGATGGAAAGATTGGAAGATGAGTAGGTATCTTGATCTGAAGTATAGGATTCACAATGACACACTTAAGTAATTGTAGTTTGTGGAGATGGGAAATATGATCAAAGAAGCAGAAGGGTTCATGAGTAGCGCCCGGAGCAAGTTCAATTTGAATACCCAATTTTAGTAAATTAGGGATTCTTTCAAAAACATCTTTAATACAACTTTGAGGACCGACACCTAAGAGTGTTGTGAGGTTTTGTAAGACGGATCCTTCACGGGGATGTTGAAGGTTTCTTCCCGTGATTTGAATATCAGTCAATTGTTTCATATCCCATATCTCCATTGGCATATATGAAGAATTCTTGGAAGATTTTACGATACTCAGATGCCGATTGACAATCAATACCTCAAGGTTCCAAAGTTTGGATATGGAAGCAGGGAGGTTTTCGTCACAAACGAGGGCAAGGTACTTTAGGCGAACTAGTTTCACCAGTAATTCAATTGGAAACTCGTAAAAGCGGATTGTTAGAGCATGCAGTATCCTAAGCAACCTAAAATTTTCCAAACATACGGGTACCGGATACTGGTGATACGGGCCGGTACAAAGGAGAGAACGTACCGTTGAAATGGATGTCATCGAGTCGCACACATCTTTGATGCCAAATAAAATGTTGTTCTGAATGCATAGTCGACGCTGGCGTTTTATACCTTCTGTCAAAACGTCGAGTTGGGTGTTTAAGGCATGGAAAAACTTGCTTTTTGAGGCTTCTTTGTTACACATGTGCCAGAAGGATGGATGGAGGGTATGAGTTGTCAAGAGAAGACTTCTGGTAAGGATGGCTTCGAAAGATCTGTAAGCAAAATTTCCCGATTCAACAAATTCCTCAGCAAACCACAAGTCGAGGAGGTGGAGGAGGTTCTCATTGTTTTGAGGGAAAACTCCCATGTAGAGAAAGCTTGGTTTCAAATGTTGAGGTAAGTAGTCGTAACTTGGATATAGTACCTTCAACATTTGATCATATGTGTTAAGTGTATATTTTTACACTTTATCGTACCTTTCTATTTGAGCTTTTGGTGTGTTTTAACGATAATTGGTGCTTAAAAAGTTTATTTATTGTATTGTAGGTACAAATTGAAGAATTGGAAAAGTATGGGGTCAAAACTGCAATTTTGGAGAAAATATGGGCCAAAAGTGAAAAAAACAAAATTCTGAAGATTTAAAGCTCGGACCCCCGTCCGAGTTTTAGTGCTAATTCTGGGACCCCCGTCTGAGAACCAGAAGCAGTGTCTGGTTGTGAGACGGCCGTCCGAGTTTTAGTACAAAATTCGGGACGGCCGTCCGAGATGACGAAAAAACGCAGTAAATGAATCCTAATTGCACAAGGAAACTACCTTCTTCCCCAAGTTTTCCACCCTATATAAGACCAAGTCAAGCACACAATTAGGGATCAATCTTTTTACGCAAATTCAAGAGCAAAGAAGATCAACGAAGATTCAAGCATAGTTTTTCTTATTTAATTTATTTATTTTATTTTATTTATCATAAGAATTACGAGTAACTAAGTCTTTATTTCTAGGATTTTATTTGGAACCCTATGTGGGATTTATGAACCCAATTCTATGATTTTATGCAAGTTTTAATTCCGGATTATTTCTTCTACTTGTTTTATTAAGTGCATGAACTTGATCAACTTATGTGCTTTTATGTTATTGTTAATCGCATGAATCGGAAGATCGGGTTAATAATTAGAACTGTGGTAGAAGAGCCTTTGTGGTATTAACATAGGAATATAGTTAATCTCTTAGGTAGCCATTATTGAGATTTGTGCTTAATGCTGTGTTCTAGAATTAATTGCATAGGAATATAGTAATTGAATCTAGATTATTAGAATCGTAATACACGCGGAAGCGGGTTATGATTATTTTAGCATCTCAGGTTAATAATCTGGGTTAATTACTTGCATAATTGAAGGAATTGGGGGAATAATAATCACATAGGGGGAAGAATAAAATCCCATGCTTGTTTACATTGATTAAATCTTCGTTTTAATTGCTTTCTTGTTTTTGTCTTTTTAATTGCTTTAGTTTAATTTAGTTTATTAATCATCTTTCGACTGTGTAGGGTGGGCTTGATAACAATTGGTAGGATTTAGCGTCTAGGATTAGATAATTAAATATTCCCTGTGGGTTCGATATCCGGACTTAATTGTCCACTTTATTACTTGTACGATACGTGCACTTGCGTGTAGGTTTTCGGCCAACAAGTTTTTGGCGCCGTTGCCGGGGAATATTTTAATTATTTATTTTATTCTAGCTCTAAATTTGAACAATTTTCACGATTCACCCAAATTAATATTTATTTTATTTTATTTTATTTTTTCGATTTAATTTTTTTTAATATTTTTTTTTCTTTGGTTACATGTCAGGTTACAATTTCCGCGCACCTCAAACGGGATATGAATGGCTTCCGTCTGGCGAATACCTCCAAAATACCTATGATATGCCGTCACTTTGTTCAATATGTGGTGGAGATCATTACACTAACCAATGTTGGTATGCACCGAAAGCGAATAATTTCATAGATAACACCAACGGCGGTTATTGGAATACATACACCAACACGCCACGAGAACCCACTGTTCAGGAGTGTTATTTGAACTCCGTCCTTGAAGAATTTATGAAATCCACTCAAGCATCTATCCGAAGATTGGAAATAATGTTGGAAGAGATGAAGCTCAAGAGGTCTCTTGAAAATATTTCAGACAATATCGAGAATGGTTGCAACAAAGAAAATCCGTCTGAAACTTGTGATGAGAAAAATCCTTTAGACCTAGAAAATAGTGTCGATGAGAGGGAAAAAGAAATTACGAAGACACTTGAAGATGATGAATCAGACAATGAAATCGAGCTCAACTCCAAAGATATATGGGAACAGGAGAAGAAGGAGATGGATGTGGTTAGTGCAAGTATTCAAATTGAGGATATTATTGTTGTTCATGACGTGGCTTTGAAGGCATCAACAGAGGTTGATGAGAAGACGAATGTGTTTGAAGTGGAGGTTATACGCGGACGTGAGGTTTTTGTGTACCGATTTGAGGGAGCGGGTGATGAAGATCCCAACTTGGCTTCGTACCGATTGATTACAACCAAGAAAGATTACAAGCTAAAGTGGACCCTGACATATTGCAATCATATCCCTGTATCGGTTGCAATTGAAGTGACAAAGCTCATGGATGGATGTGCAATCTACAAGGCTTTGGATTGGACATAACAATTTCAAGAAGCAAAGTCTGGCTGAAGACTTTAAACTTAGCGCTTCTCGGGAGGCAACCCGAGCTTTACTGTTTTTTATATTTTTCTTTAATTTTATGTTTTATTTTTATTTTCATAGGCATGTATTCTAATTAATTTATTTGATTTCTTATTTTTAAGGTCGGAATTGCGATCGGGACGGTCATCCGAGAGACAGAGAGGGCATCTTCGCAAGAGGAAAATCAAATTTCTTTCCCACAAATTCTCACACCCCGAAGACATCGACTCCGACTAAATCAGGTGTTTTCTATCCTTAAACTTTGTGCTAATTTCGTTGAGGGCAACGAAAATTTTAAGTTTGGGGGTGAAAAACATATGTTTATGCTTATTTGTTTTTAGTTTGCATGCATTAGGATTTATTTGTTTTTATTTTTTTTATTGCTTTTATCATTTTTTTTTTTCTTTTTTTCGGAATATTAAAAAAAAAAAAATTTGCTTGAGTCGAATGCATCGATGATTTATGATGATGAGAGATGGTCAATGTTTGATGATGAAATTGCTTGTTTTGTGTGATAAGGATTTGATGTGTGTTAAGCTTTCGATTCAACGGAACTTAGAAGCGAATTATTGCTAGGAATCACATTTTGTGCATTGCTTTGGTTGAATGTTTTGTATTTTAAATTTGGAATTAATTTGTGCTAGATCATGCTATGTTCGGTTTTAAAACTCACCTTAGGAAATTTATGATACGAAGTATTGAGTAGTGAGTGATTTGGGATATGATTTGGGCCTTCTTTGAACCGTTTGAGCCTTTCAAGCCGACCTTTTTATCGAAATTATCCTTAGAACCTTGATTTGAGCCTCGGAGAAAAGGTGTTCTTTCTTTTAGCCAATGTGTAAGGTAGAATAGGTGGAGATTCTTGAAAATTACCCTTTGGAGTTCGGTCGAAAATTTTTATAAGTTCCTTCTTCTTCTTCTTCGAAAAAAAAAAAAAGAAAGAAAGAAAGAAAAGAAAAGAAAAAAAAAAGAAAAAAAAAAAGAAAAAGAATAAAAAAAAAAGAGAGAGAGAGAGAGAAAGAGAAGAAGAAGAGACTAGAAGGGAGAAATAAGGACTAGTTGTTGAATTATTTTTGAAAACTCGATCCATTGCCTCAAAAGCAAAAGTGGAGACTTTTGAACTTTTGAGAATCGAGTTTATTAAAGTCCATAGAGGTGAATTCATTGTTTCAAACGTCTATCTTTCAAATTTTGGCGTAATCACCTAAATTCAAGAAAAAATAGCCACATATACCCATATTTCCTACCTCGAACCAAAGAGCCTAACAATTGAAAGCCACAAAGCCCCAATGATCCCAATAGCTTAATGTTCGATATTAGTAGAGTAGAATAATTTGGTGAGTATTTGGAGTCAAGCATATGCATGTAAGTATAAATTCTTTCTATCTTTAATTTGCAAATATTGGATGCTTGAAGCAATTGTATGAATTGTGGTTTTTGGTAATGGTGAGTGACTAAGTGTTGTTGAATTTTGAGCTTGCGAATGCCTAAGAATTGTCATTATAATTACAAGTTCTGAAAACGTGAAGTTGATCATTGATCTATGTGATGAGATGTTATAGTTAAGTTATTTGCTTATTGGAAGATTTTGCTTGAGGACAAACAAAAGTTCAAGTTTGGGGGTGTGTTAAGTGTATATTTTTACACTTTATCGTACCTTTTTATTTGAGCTTTTGGTGTGTTTTAACGATAATTGGTGCTTAAAAAGTTTATTTATTGTATTGTAGGTACAAATTGAAGAATTGGAAAAGTATGGGGTCAAAACTGCAATTTTGGAGAAAATATGGGCCAAAAGTGAAAAAAACAAAATTCTGAAGATTTAAAGCTCGGACCCCCGTCCGAGTTTTAGTGCTAATTCTGGGACCCCCGTCTGAGAACCAGAAGCAGTGTCTGGTTGTGAGACGGCCGTCCGAGTTTTAGTACAAAATTCGGGACGGCCGTCCGAGATGACGAAAAAACGCAGTAAATGAATCCTAATTGCACAAGGAAACTACCTTATTCCCCAAGTTTTCCACCCTATATAAGACCAAGTCAAGCACACAATTAGGGATCAATCTTTTTACGCAAATTCAAGAGCAAAGAAGATCAACGAAGATTCAAGCATAGTTTTTCTTATTTAATTTATTTATTTTATTTTATTTATCATAAGAATTACGAGTAACTAAGTCTTTATTTCTAGGATTTTATTTGGAACCCTATGTGGGATTTATGAACCCAATTCTATGATTTTATGCAAGTTTTAATTCCGGATTATTTCTTCTACTTGTTTTATTAAGTGCATGAACTTGATCAACTTATGTGCTTTTATGTTATTGTTAATCGCATGAATCGGAAGATCGGGTTAATAATTAGAACTGTGGTAGAAGAGCCTTTGTGGTATTAACATAGGAATATAGTTAATCTCTTAGGTAGCCATTATTGAGATTTGTGCTTAATGCTGTGTTCTAGAATTAATTGCATAGGAATATAGTAATTGAATCTAGATTATTAGAATCGTAATACACGCGGAAGCGGGTTATGATTATTTTAGCATCTCAGGTTAATAATCTGGGTTAATTACTTGCATAATTGAAGGAATTGGGGGAATAATAATCACATAGGGGGAAGAATAAAATCCCAGGCTTGTTTACATTGATTAAATCTTCGTTTTAATTGCTTTCTTGTTTTTGTCTTTTTAATTGCTTTAGTTTAATTTAGTTTATTAATCATCTTTCGACTGTGTAGGGTGGGCTTGATAACAATTGGTAGGATTTAGCGTCTAGGATTAGATAATTAAATATTCCCTGTGGGTTCGATATCCGGACTTAATTGTCCACTTTATTACTTGTACGATACGTGCACTTGCGTGTAGGTTTTCGGCCAACAATATGCGTTCAAGAAAACTGAATGCCGTTGAGCACCAGCTACCTCGGTCCAGTACTCTGTTGTCTTATCAACTTTAGACATGATATTGGCCACAGTGACAATTGTCAGAGGAAGACCTGCACAGTTTTCGGCGATCTTCTTTCCAGCTTTCTCGAGTTCGTAAGGCAACGACTCTTGTTGATCACCAAACACCTTGCGACGAAAAAGATCCCAACTTTCTTTATTATCCATGAAGCGCATTCTGTAATTAAAACCCCAGTCTGCAGAAATGCTAGCAACATCTCCTATCCTAGTTGTCAGCAAAACACGGCTGTCATCACCGCGCCATATAAACAACTCAGCCAACTCACGATACCATAGCTTAATGTCCCATAAATCATCGAGCACGACAAAGTATCGACAATCCTCTAGACCTTTGATTATCAACCCCTTTAAGGCAGCTAATTTTCCTTCTTCTCCCACAAGCACGATCATTTTGTCGTCATCAACTTCGCGAGTAGTCTTCACTTGTCTTAGAATATCCGACAAGACACGTTCTAATGTATACTTCGGGCCTATGGTCACAAACACACGTTTCTTGAAACGACTCAAAATGAATGGATCATTAAGAAGTTTCTTGGCAAGAGTAGTCTTACCAATACCTGCCATACCAATCAACGAGATGGTCATGTGTTCAGGTAGCGAGCCCTCTCGCGTGATCCGGGCTTTGACATCCGAAAATAGCTCGGATAATCCAACCATCTCCGACGACTCACCAAAATCAATTCTTGACGGGCAGATACCATCATCATCTTCTTCTTCTTCATCTTCATTTGTAACTCATTAAAGTACACCTCCATCATAGCCTTTAACGTGTCCATGAAGTTACCGATAACATGATGTATTTCATGCAGGTCTAGGAAGAATAACAATGGATGTGGATTCTGATCATCTTCCTTTTGAGAAAGAAACTGTCCCGATACATGAGAATCGAGTACATCTTCGAATTCGTGTATTGCCTCTCTGATTCGTCGATCCAAAGCATTCACCCTCTTCATATTGGCGGCGTGGATGTTTTCATCCAATTTTCGGAGAACAATTTGCAACACGGGAATATGGTGGTTGCACAGATATTCGATGATCTCTAACGATTTTGGAACAATCGAAACTCGTGGGGAATTAATAAGTTGCTTAATTGTGCTCTTTAGAGAAATTGCAGCCGCATAAGCCATCTCTCTCTCTCTCTCTAGACTCTCTCTCTCTCTATCAAACTGGAACACTACCTCCTAGCTAGTTAGCTTCATCATTGGGCTGTAAGCATGCTAACGAATTCATTGACTCTCATTAGTCAACGTACATTATTACAACTAGTTAGTTGGTGGCTAGCTGGCCGCCTTTATGGACTAGTTGTCAACGTACATTATACTTTAATTATTGAACTCCCATTAATAGTCAATTACATCAAAGAGTGGGGGCAACCGACATGACTAAATTGGCCGACATGATCATATTATTTTGCAACTAACCCCTTGTGATTTGTATGTTTTGCAAATTACTCCTTATCATACTTAATGCCCCGTTTGGTTGCCAAGATAAGCCAAGATTAACTAAATAATTGGACTTAATTTGATGTTGGGTATCCCTAATAAATTGTCGGGTCGACCCGCCAAAATTATGTAATCATGGCTTATCTTGCCTTCTAGTGTGTTTTTTTGTTGGACGTCGCGAGCTCCAATAAAATAATTGGGTTTCATTAAACTATTTAATCTTATCTTGCCAACCAAACGGGGCCTAATAATACTAATTAAGTAATTAGTACTCCCTCCGTTCCGAAATAATTGTCGTTTTAGGTTGTTGCGCACATATTAAGAAAATTAATAAATATGTGTGGATTTTAGGAAAATACATATAATAGTACTAAAATACTCATGTAATTAATTATATCTCAACTAATTAAGAGTAATAACTAATAAGGGCATAGTTAAGAAAAGGGTTTTTGGCACTTTGCACCCTAAAATTACACTCTTTTGGCACTTTGCACCCTTAAATTATAAAATTGGCAGATTGCACCCTTTAAACATAAATTGTTTGGCACTTTGCACCCCAAATCACTTTTGGCTTAGAAAAATTACCTGCAACTTGTTGAAAACCTGAAAGATGGGCAAATTCGCAATTCTCTAATTATCTATCATCTTCCCACAATTCTTAATCATCGTTCCACCATTTTTATATTTCGTCCTATTAATCAAAAAATCCTAAATTCTTCTTACTCATTTCTATTTTCCATAATATGTAAATTCTAAACTAAAATTCAAGAATGGTCGGAATATATAGACAAGAGTCCGATAACACACATTCAAAAAATCAAGTTTTATTCAATGGTAACGCTATTTTTTTTTTAATAATTTTGCAGATCCAAACTATTCAATTGGAGCACAAAAATCTTTCCATCATGAAACTAATAGGCACCACCTTTCTACCACCAAATAAACTTCTCAGTAGCCTTATTTTGTCATTTGACTATTCAGAAAAAAAAAAAATTGAGGGCTCGGCCTAAAATTTCCAGTTACATTGTTTTTCATACTCAAAAGAAAAAAAAAAAGTGATTTACTATTATTGATTAGTGTTTATACCGATTTTACCATTGAAAGAAAAAGGCTAAATTTTTTTTAGGATTTTTTAGATTGAAGGGACGAAAGATAAAAATGGTGGAATGGTGATTAAGAATTGATGGAAGATGATAGATAATAAGAAAATTATGAATTTGCCCATCTTCCAGGTTTCCAGCAAGTTGCAGGTAAGTTTTCTAAGCCAAAAGTGATTTGGGGTGCAAAGTGCCAAACAATTTATGTTTAAAGGGTGCAATCTGCCAATTTTGCAATTTAAGGGTGCAAAGTGCCAAAAGAGTGTAATTTAAGGGTGCAAAGTGCAAAAAACCCGTTAAGAAAACAGTAATTAATACATCATTGAAATTTTAAAGTAACAGATAATATGAAACAAGAAAAACTTCCCAAAGCAACAGTTAATTTGAAACGGGGGAGTAGTATTTACCCTCGTGCATTGAACGTGTAGCGTTTCAAAATTAAGGGAATAAAATAATTTATTTAAATACATGACAATATACGCAATATCAAAATATTTATTTATGAAATTGAAATTTCGGTAATAGCATTGAAACGAAGTTTTTTTTTACTTGTAACATATTTTTAGAGTTTGCAAGTACATGCAAATATTACTTTATTTCTCTTAAAACATATCGTTAAGAAAATGATGTTTTAAGTTAAAATTTGAAAAAACATTTCCAGTATTTATAAATAATGAAAAATACTACTCTTATAATTAATGAAAACTATGTATTGAACATTTGGGTCGTTATTATTTTTATCTATTCATTAATTTATTAGAATGTTTGAGATGTTTTATAAAGAAAATAATCCGAAAACTACAGTTTGAGGGAGGCCAGGCCCATTTTTTTTTTTTTTTTCTATTTGATATTTTATTTTTGTTTATTATTATAAAATAAATATTATTTTAATGAGTGGAGGATAGGAAAGTAAGGATTGAGTTTAATTTGATACCACACCTAATGGTGTAGATGAGCCGGCTCGACAAAAGCTTGAGATGAAATTTGAATTTTTCAAATTCGAATTTTCTGATGAGCTCAAACTCGAGCTCATCCTTAATTGTTCATCAACTCACAAGCTTTTTTTATTTTTAATATAAATGTAGCTAATATATATATAATTAAATAATCATTTTAATTTTTTATTCCATAATTTTTTATATTATAAATAATTTATAATAAAATATAATATTAATATTATTTAAAAAAACAGAATAATAAAATGAGTTGAGCTCGAGCTCCACTCGTTCACACCCCTATTACCACCTCACACATTGGAAAAGTCAAAAGGGTCGAGATCTGCATTACTGTATTTTCATTAAAGATTATTAAAGTTTTTTATTTTTATTTTTATTTTTATTTTTATTTATTGCATGCTTTATTTTTTTAATTAGTTGTTGACTCAAATGATTTAGTCTTTATAACTTATTTATACGAGTATCGTACGTTGATGATTTGATCAATAATGTTTGATTATGGTGTACGTTATTGCTCAAACAATTATGGTTTACTTTTTCATTTTAATTTCATGTTTCATCTATGAGTTCTATTAATTAAATAGTTACATATAGTTTTGTATTTTCATTTTTTTCTTTATTTGTAATCATTGTTATATAGTTAATACACTCTGGTTTTCATTTTGAAGAAACAAGATGATATATTTCTTTTGTTATGATAAAAATGAAATAAAGGATTACTTAATGTATTGAAGATTAATTATGTGCTTAATTATGATTATACAATCATATTTTAGATAGTGATTATTACTCAATTCCAAATTCATAATCACAATAAAATAGAAGAATCCCTTCTATTATCTTTTCTCGTACTCTTTTCTGGTAATGAAAAAATTCGCAGCCAATCGTATAAGTGTACTCCATAAATATATACTCTCGTATAATAACTTGCAAACTATACGAGAGACGTAAGTTACAAACTCGACCTAGCGACCGTTGGCAAGAAAATTCGAATTTAAGTCATCTGACACAAGCTCACTTGCTTCAGCTGATAAGCGATCCCTTACGAGGCTATTTTTTCATCTCATACTTGCTTCCTTTTATGAGACATTATATTATTTAGCATTATTTTTTCCAATTTTCTGAATAAAAAAAGACTAATCAAAACCGTTGAAGTTGTCAAAAGATAAGAGTCACAGTTCAGATCACACCATATATATAATATATTAATTATTAAGTATAATAACTATTAAATATATAATATATTTTCAATAAAATATACAAAGTCAGGAATCTTATAGAACTACAATATTTAATTTCCCTCACGATAGAATTTTTTAAATGTTGCAAGGACACGTCTATGGTAGGTGTCTTATTAATTTAAATGGAAAAATGGATAATAATTGATGAAATTGCATAAATATTTATTTTCTTGCCAACCACATGTAGTATAAAAATAAAATCAAGATTGGGGACCATTTCTTAGAGGGAATCAATATTAATGTCATGGAGAGAGAAAAACAAGACAATTAAGTACCAACTTGTAACAATAGTGCCAAGTTGTAATAATATTAAATCTAATTTAATAATCCATCATGTAAGTGGTTCTATTTATTTATTATTTTTATTTGAGAGTTGTTTGGGATGGTTTTACAAAATTAGAATTTGATAGAAAATCAAGAAAATGTGCCTACTAGTCTTGTTGTGCACTCAACACTAAACAAACGTCCACGACATTCGATTGCGGGTCTCTCACCGAGCCGTAATCCAGGCTGACAATCTCCCCCTCAACAAATTTGCACGCTGACAATTGAATCTGAGCCAAGATCTTGACTCTAATACCACTTGTAGGTACTCATGCGATATAAATTGTTATAAAATTAATTGGTGATAGGAAAACACGCAAACCATAGTTTTATAGTGCATTCAGTAGACAAAAACGCTCATGACCTTTGATTGTGAGCCGCTACACCAGGCCTCTCCGACATGAACAACCGCTGCCAAAAGGCTAATAGATTGAATGGTTTATTATTATTATTATTATTATTATTATTTTTTCTCAAAAATGGAAAAAAAAAGTAATTCCATAAATATACAGACACAAATTCTATGGTCCAACTAAAAGAAATAATTGCAACACATTCATAATATGTAGGGGACAGTGAATAAACCTTTTATTGATCATATTATAAAATCGGGAAATCAAAATTAAAAGTAAAGTGGCAAATCTGCAATATTGAAAAGTAAAATATTGACACTTGCTGTTAATATTTAAATAATCATAAATATGTGGGGGCACTTATAGTAATAGCTGGCAAAAGCCGGGACCATTTGCAATAACTTTATTTATTTATGGATCCCTCCATAATCACATGCGTATCTATTATTTTGCACATGTCCCTCTCACTTTCACTCATTTCAATATTATTATTATTATTATTATTATTATTATTATTATTATTATTATTATTATTATTATTATTATTATTATTATTATTATTATTATTATTATTATTATTATTATTATTATTATTATTATTATTATTATTATTATTTAAATAAAAACTACTTTATATAATTAGTATTAATAGATTGAGTTTTTATAATCCAAGAAATTACCGTTTTAGAAAATTAGTTTTTTAAAATAGTTATTGCGAGGGTTAATTGGAGAAAACTAACTAATACTACAGTTGAATCATGATAAATTAATAATCTTGCTTAAATAATAATTTCTTACAATCTCGTCTTATAATAAATATATTAAATTATTAGTTATGATCATTTAATATTTCATTAATTGTTTGGTGTCTAACCGATGACGTCGGCATGCTTATGTAATGTTTTTTTTTTTGGAAATAGCTTATCTAATGTTTCTGAGAAGCCCTCTTTTGCTGGTAACATCACGGACAAATAGTTAGTTGCCACGTGGATTGAATTAGGGTGAGAATGCACCCATCTGGGTGTGACTATATCATTCCTCATTTTATCACGTGTTTAGCTACGTGACTCATAAAACTACAGTTCCCGGAATCCGTTGAATCACGTGACAATTTTACCTATCACTCGACCGACTGATTAACTGTTGTTGATTAACTGTTGTGAGTATCGATAAATTAATAATTCCGCTTAAATAAATTTTTTTTTTAATCCTGATTCGGTGAAAACGCATTAAATTATTATTCCGATAATTTAATATTTCACTAAATTAATATAATTTATAGAAGTTTAACTGTATAATAAATATTTTAACTAAAAAAATGTACGAAATTAAATAAAATGATATATCATCATAAGTTTGAAAGTTGTATTTGGACCGAAATAATGAAATTAAAATGGAAGATTTAGTAAATATTAATAGTGCGCGTTAAATTTACCACAATATCTTAAAGATAGTCTAAAATAACAGCCAACACGACAAATATAAGTTTATTGCAACAAGCTTAATAATTAAATAACATTAATTACTAGTATGTACTCCCTCCGTTCTTAAATATGTGTCGTTTTTCCACCTTGGCACAAATCTTAAGAATCTCAATAAATATGTCTTGATTTTAGGAAAATAGATATTGATGGACCAAAATACCCTTGTTTATTAATTAATGCATGAAGAGTGGTATAGAGTTAATAAAGGTAAAATTGAAAAATAAGCAATTAATGCAGCAATGGAATTGTAAAATGACAGATAATATAGAACAAAAAAAATTCTCAAAAAAGACAGATATTATAGAACAGAGGGAGTATATGCTAATTATGAGTTAGGCAAACATTGAAGAAGTCGGTTAAGTAATATAAGTGTCTATCTAACTACAAAATTAAAGTCACGATAGATCAAAATATAGCTAGCTGTTTGCTTTGTTTTCCTTCGTTACCAGAAAATAGAAAAAAAAAACAGATTACTTATAAACGAAAATTTATTAAATAATATACTATATATATATATACTAGTAACAATTACAAATAAAAATATTTCCCTTAAAATCAATAATCTCATGTTATATTTGAAAATAAAACCATCGTGTACTTATAAATTAATTAGGATAAATTGCACATACACCTCTAAAATATGCTAAAATAACTGTAAGGTCCCTATGATATTGGTAATTACAATGACCCTCTGAAATATTGTTAGAAATCATATCGGAATAATGCATTGGATAAGTTATTCCATTAGAGTTCTAACGGACTATTAGTTTCAAAAAGTAGTTGAGACAACATAGAGCTAGAGGGGTGACATGGTTCCCCCAACATTTCTTAAATCATTATTATTTTAGATGAGATTTATAAATTTCCGTCTATGGTAGCCTTAACAGCCTCGTGAAAAAACAATATTGCATATCGGTCTCCAGGACATGAAATATTGAAATCTTGGCTCCGGTAATTGTTTCAAGGGTGTGGCTGTAATAACCAATACTACATGGACCTTAAAGTTATTTTAGTATATCTCAGGGGTGTATGTGTAATTTACCCAATTAATTAATGCCCGTATGCTACGGATCTTCGTTTTTCGGTTCGTGACCGGGAATAGCCGGTTCATGTTATAACTTATAAGCACGAGAACAATGCTAAACCTGTTTATAGGACTTGCACAATTATATCATTACTCTCTCTCTCTCTCTCTCTCTCTCTCTCTCTCCTCTTTCTCTCTCTTCTTCAACACCAAACACAACAAGCTGTTTTTGCTTCACTGTTAACAGTTTCATTCGTTGCATAGAAAGGAAGATAACTACCTTTGTTTTCTGAGCTGAATATATAATATATAAAGATTTGATTTTTATTATTTTTGTTGAACTGTTTTCTATATATAAGTTGAAGATGGAGAGAGATTTCATGGGCTTAGCTGTCAAGCAAGAGATTTCTGATGAACCCATTGATGCAGGTAATTTCATTTCATTACAGCAATAAACTTTTATATAGTTTCTTCACGTTAATACATCTTAATTCCGACCAGATTTTATGAATCTAAAAATTATAGAAATAATCATGGATTTGTAAATTGAAGTAGCCTCCTCCTCAAATGGGATTTTTTTTTTAATTAATAAATTTATTTTTGTATAATAGCTCATTATATTATATTAATAATATGTGGGGTGGGGTTGAGAAAATGAAAACTCAAATGGGAATAAGATAATGCACTTCTTATTTGTTTTAGTGCTAGTTGCTAAATTAAAAATAAATAAAATAATAATAAATAATAATAAATAATAAAAGATAGTGCTAGTTGTGCCAACACGAGGCATGTTGCAATATTTTAAAGACTCAAACTTTATGAACCTGTTTTCATTTGGATTTTTATATACAATTTTTAATTACTATATTTATTGGAGCCCTCATCATTTTTATTAAATTGAAACAAGTTGTGCCCTCCAATCCAAGAAAGCCACCACTACACATATTTTATTTTAATATTATATATACATATATGTGTGTGTGTTATATACTATATTACTGCTTAATTAAACAATAGTAATTAGGTGATTAAAATCTTGATTTTCTTGATTTTGTAGCTCCATTAAGAAGTTCACAAATGCAGTGGTCATTCTCAAATAAGTCACCTTTTCAAGGTGCTCAAGATCACAAATCATACTCTGGTTTCATGCAGGTTCATTTCTTGCAACTTTTCTTGTATATAATTTAATAAATAAAATAAATAAATAAAAATAAAATAAATAAAAATATTAAACTTTATGTACTAAAATGATTTTTTTCTACTCTTTTAGAAAGACATTGTTTCTGAAAAGCAAAGTGGAGTTGGCTATACAATGACAACTTATCCTACACATCACCGTTTCGTTAACCGAACGGCAATTCCTTCTAGAAGCCCCGTTGTCGGAACTACCGATTTAAGGTATTTGTAATAATCGAATATGATCTTAATAGGAATTTTTTATTTTTTTAATTAATTACAAGATTTAAAGTAAACTAATTAGCTTGATCTGTTTATTTCTCGTAGGAGCTCTTCTAAAAGCTCGGTTGCTCCTGCACAGTTGACCATCTTCTATAACGGTTCTGTTTCTGTTTACGACAACATTTCTTCGGAAAAGGTAACACCATATGGTATTAATAGTTACTTTATATTTGTTATCGATGATTCGTCGTAATTTTATTTATCGATGAGTATATATATATTTATAGGCTCAGGCGATTATGTTATTGGCTGGAAACGGGCATCCTCCGTTGAATTCTATTCCAACAGTCACAGCAGCAGCAGCTCCGGTTCAAGCATCGATGCCTAGATCTTCGATTCTTGATGGCTTCGTCGTAAGTCAAAGTCAACCTTTTAGTACTACACCGTTTCGGTCAAGCCCCACAGCTATAACGACGTCTGTTAGCGGTTCTCGATTTTCCGGTTGGCCTAGTACTATCATTGATATGAATGCTAATAAACAAGGCGGCAATATTCTTGTACCTTCGAACAGAGTTGATCAGCCTCAGAAAGTAGTGAATGCAACCGGTATTTTATTTTCGATTTTTATTTATTTTAAATAAAAAAAATCGATTCTTGATATTGACATAACATACCCTTTTCCATTTTTTTTATTTTTTATCAGGCACTGTACCTCAATTTCGGAGAAAATCTTTGGCTCGGTTTTTAGAGAAGCGCAAGGAGAGGTAAATTTTAAGATGATAAATTAGTACATTTATTAATTTTCCGACCACTGTCGATTTCTGAAAAAAAATGTTGTTCTCGATTTCAGGGTGGTAAATACTTCGCCGTATGCCGATAGCACTAGCTAACGAAGGAGCTTAATTTGCCGATTATATTACATATATATATATATATATATACATATAAGTCGAAGGATTTACTTAGACTTGCTACTTTGCATATACGTCTCGTATTCTTTCTTGACTTTATATGTTTCGACTGTACTCTTGACGTTTTTTCAGTTCTCCATTTTTGCTGTAACTGTGATCGTAGTTTTTTTGTTTATCCGATCACGCTAAGAATGCCATCCGCCTATGATTTTATCATAATTACATTGTATACATATTAATCATGTCATTGTAAGAACAGTTGTATTAAGAATTGTTTAGCAATAGAAAGATTATATATATACAGTAGAACCTCGATTAATTAATAACCTCGCTTAAATAATAATTTCTCTTGATCCCGACTCGGTCAAAATGTATTAAATTATTAGCTCGATAATTTACTATTTCGCTAAATTAACAGAATTTGCTAGTCCCGACTGAATATGAAAAATACACCATCACGACCGGAATTTTTCTAATTCAAAAATGAAAACTTTTATTTTCCCATCTTCGAAAATTTAAGATGAAGAAAATATTTACACGTGCGATATAACCGTCGGCTCACGCCCAGGATCAAGAATCGTAAATTAATCCAGGAAAAATTCTTCCGGACAACGTAAAAGAAGAGTCGAGAAAGAACCCCATAAACGAGCAGAATGCCGACGGCGAATAAAAATGTTTCGACACTATAAATATCCAATGTGGACAGAATATCTATTTCGATAAATCTCCAGTTGTTGTTCTGAGCTTCCGAGGTTGAACTATTCGTGTATTCGATCTTCGGTGAATCTTTACCATTATGAGCAAACTTTGTCCCCTTCGATCCATTTATCAGATATTTGTTCAAGCGGTACATGATCATCGTTGATATTTCGTGCAGCCGTTTCGAATGCTTAGGAATACGTAACAATTTTAACAACAAGAGAGATGTTTTGGCTATTAGTGCTACTAACACTGCTGCTGCGTAGGTAGCGAAAGCGTATGCGTTTATGAATGAAGCACAGATTACCCGAGAATCGTGGGACGTTTTTCGTATGAAGACGAGACTTTCTTCGACGGACTTTCCTGCTGTGTTATTGTCGTCTCGTCTGATGGCTGTTATCGCACGCGTGATGGACTTACTACCACTTTTATCGGTGAGAAAATGAGCTTCTTTATTGATCCGCTGACCATTCTTTTTCGAGAAGTCGAACGACAAATTCTTGAATACAAAACGGCGGCCTGGAACCGTGATTTTGTTCGAACCCGAAAACGGTTTGAGGCTAATGTTAGTCACTGTACGGGTAAATCTTGCCATCTTTCGTTTTCTATCTGTTGTTGGCAGAGAAAATATTTCAATGTCAAGGTGAAACTCCGAGTGGGAGTCTTGAGATAAAGAGTTGAAACTAAACTGGATAAGATTGTTTGTTGAAGCATTAGGCAAGACAGGGCAAAAACGGGACAAGGACAACGGAATAAAGACGTATGCGATCTTTGCGATTGCCGATGTTTCACTTTGATGTTTCCGAAGAAAAACAATAAAAAATGGTTCTTGAAATTGTTTGGTTCTGCCATTTCAAGACAATACAAAAATAAATAAATAAACAATCAGCTAGCTATTACAACTCATGATATATAGTTCTTTAAATCAACATTAAAAAAAATTAAAAAAATCGGATGACTAATCCCATGAATAACGGACGCTAAGATCAACGCCACGTGCTCTGTACCGCGCAGTCCTTTTTACGAGGTCTACACAATCGAGGGCTAGAGGGCTGCAGTCAACCAGTTCAATCTTTTTCAAATGTGAACCAAATTTTTGAGGGATGTCTTCCAGTTTGTAGCAATGACGTACGACAAGCTACTCGAGCCTAGGTAGGTAGTAAGAATGTTACCGGAATGTCCAGTTCTTTAGATCAGTGTCTTCGATCAGAAGATACTGAAGGCACGGGAATTCACCGTCGCAAACTTCCCAATTCGGGCCCCGGAAGGCGTAGCGTTTCAATTTGAGAACTCTAAGATTTGGAAGTGCAGAAATCTTGCTCATTTCTTTCCATGCAAATCCGAACCCGCTCAAACTCAACGTAACAAGACTTCATGGGAGGAAATTTAAAGGAGTGGGTGGCCGGGCAACAACTTCAGACAACATGATTCTTGGATTTACGGTCGCACATTTAAGTGTTTCGAGATTATCGAGATTGGAGATGTGATCGAAGCAGCACAAGGGCTTATCATCATCATCATTATTATCAGGAGCCGATTCGATTCTGATTCCTAATTTCCGTAGATTAGGGATTCTTTCAAAGACGTCTTTGGTGCAACTCTGAGGACTCACATCTAAAAGTGTTGAAAGGTTTGGTAAGAGAGAATCTTCACAATTAGGATCTGGCAAATCGCTTCCCATTACATGAAGATGCCTTAATTATTTCATATCCCATATCTCCATCGGAAGGTACGGAGATTTCCCATCTGATTCTACGATGCTCAGACATCGATGAACAATCAAGTACTGAAGGTTCCAGAGTTTCGATATGAAATCAGGGATGTCTCCGTTGAGTGTAAGAGAAAGGTACCTTAGACGAACTAGATTCGTCACTTGCATCGGGAACTCGTAGAAGAGGATGGTAAGAGCATCCAATATCCTGAGCAACCTCAAATATTCCAAACATACTGGTACTGGATACTGATGATAAGGACCGGTACATAGGAGAGAGCGTACCGTCGAAACAGAGGCAATTGAATCGTACGCGTCTTTGATGCCGAATAAGACGTTATTGCGAATGCACAATCGTCGCTGGCCCTTTAGATCTTCTTCTACTAAACAATGATCAAGAGTGTTTAAGCCACGAAAAAACTTGATCTTGGTAGCTTCTTTATTACACAAGTGCCAAAAGGGAGAATGGAGGCCACAAGTTTTGGTTATGTCATTGAGGCTCTTCTTGAGGACCGTGGCAACGTTGTTCATGTAAAGCTGATCCAAAGTAGACCATGTAGCGTACTCTGGTGTTTCTAGACAGCCCATTTCAAGAAATCCTTCAACATTCCAAAGTCTGACGAGCTTGTAGAATGGTATCTCATAGTTTTGAGGAAAAACCGCCATGTAGAGAAAGCACGGTTTTAAATGTTGAGGTAGGTACTCATAGCTTGGATATAGTACCTCAAACATTTGATCGTACGCATCGATGAAAACTGAATTTTGTTTGTCGGCAGCTACCATGTTCTAGTACTCTAAACTCTTGTCATTAGATCTGGATAGTATGTCTGCAACTATGCCTTCACAGTTCTCGGCAATCTTCTTTCCAGCTTCCTCAAGATCATGTGGGCAAGGCGTTTCATCGAACACCTTCTGACGAAGAAGATCCCAACTTTCTTTCTTGTCGAGGAACCGCACGTCATGCTTGGAGAACCAAGATGAATTATATTTAGCCACTTCTTCTAGCCTAGTTGTGAACAATACTCGACTGCAATTATTGTTTTCTGGAAATTCCGAGAAAACAATAATTGACCTTGAAATTCCACACATCATCGAGCACCATCAAGTACCTCCGACCAGTCAAGCATTTGCGCATGATCCTTGTCAACGCATCTGAAGACGTTTCTCCCTCCATAGTTTGCAGATCTTCATCATCAACATCTTCCCTTTCGATCGCTAGTGTTGTAATATCACGCATATACCGCGTCTCTGATTTCACCATCGAGAGCATTCACCCCGGCCCTGTCGATATGGCTCTTGCTGCTGCTCATGCTTCCATTCAATGTTTTGAGAACTTCTTTCAAGGAAAGAACCTGCTCGTACACAAATTCTAACATCTCTCTAGATGATTCTGGAACAATTGAAACACGGTTGGATTTTAAAAGTGGCTCCATTGTCTGCATAAGAGAAACCACTGCAGCATACGCCATTTGATCTGAGTTTCAGTTTCAATGTCAAGTTTCTCTCTCTCTCTCAAGCAGATCCGGGCACACATTTCACAAAACTGTAACAACTCTCTATCATAAGCATTCATAAGATGGGAAAAAACAAGTCAACCACACATGGAAATTATATTTAATGGGGATACTAAATTATTATGCAGTTGCATCTAGTACTTGGGGTAGTTGAGACATGGAATTTTTTACTAATTCAATAGAAATATTTAATATTAAATTTTAGATTGAAATATAGTTTTATTGCAACTTGTCATACTTGGCATCAAAGATTGTAATATACACTTGTAATAAACCCAACTTCATTTACCTGTCATTCTTGGATGAAAACCTGTGAACAACATAAAACAAGAGTCGATAAAGAACTCCGTAAACCAGCAAAACGCTTATGCCTACTAGAAAAGTATCTATAGGATAAACATCCATTGTTGATAGAATATCTATTTCGAACAACCTCCATTTGTTTATCTGAGCTGCCGATGTTGTAATGTTCGTCTTTGTCCCCTTCGATCCATTAATCATTATAAAATCACCCAAGTGGTATTTGAGTAATCTTGATCTTCCATGCATCCATTTCCAGCACATGGGAATTTGTAATAATTTCAACAATAACAGACCTGGTTTGACTGATACTGCTTCTAATACTGCTACCGCGTAGCGAATGAAGGCATTTGTGTTTATGAATGAAGCACATACGTGGGACGTTTTCCGCATGAAGACGAGACTTTCTTGGATGAAAATTGTGGCACTATCGTCGGGCTTTTTGGCTCCACCATTGTCTGTTATATCAGATTGACCAGATATATCATTAACTAGACGAGATTCTGTATTGATCCGTACACCATTTTTCCTCTGTTTCTTCGAGAAATTGAACAATAACTTCTTCAATGCAAAGCCATGGCCTGGAACCAGCTTTCGTTTAGGTCTAGCCATGATCTTGTCCGAGCCCGAGAAGGGCTTCAGATTCATCTTTGTCCCTGTACAAGTAAATCTTGCCATCATTTTTTTTTTTAAATTCTTGGTATAGAAAATATTTCAATTTAAGGTGCAATTTCTGAGCCTTCAGAGCAGCAGCAGTGATATAAAAATGGAAGCGATAAAAGGGTCGAAATTAAAAGTGGATAAGGTTGTTTGTGGAAGCATTCGGCAAGACAAGGACAATGGAATGTAGCTGTAATCTTTGGGCTTGACGATGTTTAACTTTGATGTTTCAAGACAATCTTTTTATTTGTCTTGTTTCTTTGTTTTAAGTTGAACTGACGGTTTCTTCGACCCTACACCCAGTGATCTACGTGAAATTGGCTGCCCATGCAAATCACAAGAGTTAAACCATTGCAATTAAGAAGCACAAATGAAAATATTCAACGTCTACCTGAGAAACAAAACAAAAGAAAGAAAAGTGAAATCTTTAAACACTAAAAAAAAGTCATGTGTAAGTCTAAAAAACTCAAACCACCAGAGACCTCTAATTGTATACATCACAACCATCACAAAATGACACTTATATATGTATTCCAGGATCTCTCAAAAAGGGATCAAGCGGCCACCGTTAGATCCTCACCAGAAACCCGTGCAAAGGAACCAGTCAGCGGCAAGAGCCAAGCTCGTTTTCTTGCATGCTCCAAGTAAAACTCGAACTTATCCTTTGCATTCGGAATATCAAGAGCCAAATCATCAAGCCCATCTTCAATCCTATTAAAACCTTTAGTCATCTGATTAGTAGTTATCAGCCCTTCACCGAAGCACTCCTGCAGCAAATCCAGCATCCTATCGTTTTTCTTCTCCATCGCCATTACCAGAGCTTTCTTCACCACCTCGTGGTTGAAGAACGGCATGCTTAAATCTCGAATGCACTGGCAGGCTTCACCCACCACCCCGCCGCTCTCATATTCTTCTAGAAGCTTCTGAATCTTGTCCTTTGCGTCCTCCACCGCCCACCCCGTGCCCCCACCCCAGCACCTGAGGATCCTTTCGCCAGCGTGGCGTGCCGCCACGAGAGATCGAGCCATGAGCACCGTCTCGCTGCCGCTGCCATTTGGCGTCAGCTTATTGGCTATCTCCACCAAGTTTAGAGGGGCGAGGACATCGTCTATGACTGCCCTTGCCAGGAAAAACGCGAGTTCGTTGGAAGCATCTAAAATGTCGAGTGCGGTGTCTTCTGCAGACTCCAACAGCATAATAAAACCATTGACTATGTCTTCGGTTGAGAACATCTCTATATGAAGCACAGATAGTAAAACGGATGCCATTTCCTTCTCTCGGTTTTTCCTGTCCATTGCCAGAGTGACAAGCTTCTTGAGGAAAATCGGGTTATATTCAGGCATGCCTAGATCTTCGAGATTCTGAATCAGTTCAGGAATATCATCTGACAGGAAATATTCATGGATAATTGTGACAACCTCTTCCTTGTACCTTCTTAACTTGTCATCACCTTTGTCTGGTTTCAACCCATTTTCGACAGGAGACTTTACGTAAGATGCATCGAGCCATCCTTCAGATACTGCCTGGGGAACAATGGATTGGAATATATCTTTCGCCGAAGGAATATCGAGGGCAAGATCGTCAAGGCTATCAGCAAACCGAGCAAAACCCTTAATCATTTGACTTGAGCTTATTAGACCCTCATCTGCTGCTTCCTTCAGCAATTTCAGGATAAGCGGTTTTGCAGTCCGTGCCTCCATTGCTATAACCAGGGCCCGTTTCACAACTTCGTGGTGGAAAAACGAAAAGCCCAACTGTCTAATACACGTGCAGGCTTCAGAAGTATCACCACTCTCGATATATTCCCTTAGTAGGTCAGAGATCGTTTTCTTCACTTCATCAACGGTGAGATGTGTGCTCCCACCCCAACGCCTTTCCACGAGCTCTGCATGGTGTGGTGCCGAGAGATAGCTTTTCTCGGCAGTTTGCAGTACTTCGAATCCTTTGGAAGCTTCCGGAAACATCTTTCTCACCCTAGGGATGAAAGCAGGGGGTATAATATCATCAACAACCGCTCGAGCGATGAACAAAGCTAGAACATCAACAGCATCCAGTATGTCCAGTACCAGGTCATCAGCTGCTTCTAGAAGCAGGAAAAACCCCTGACTGATTTGTGCAGCCTTAATGACATCAGCATACAGAGCTGAGAGCAGAACCGAACTCATCTCCTTCTCTTTGTTATGCCTGTCCATGGACATTGAAACGAGGCGCTTAACAATGTAGGGATGAAACTCACTCGATCCCAGTTCTCTAAGATCGGAAACAGCCACATCTACATCACCTGTGCTAAAGTACTCCTCTATAATGGATACAACAGCTTTCTTGTATTCATCCAATGGATCAGCGACAGCTGCCGCAATAAGCTCGTAAGGCTCCTGTCCACGTCAGCAATAACAAATATAAATATAAACCAAACTGTATTGATGATTGGTTAGGGTTGGACCCAAAGCAGCTGAAGAGAAATCGAATTATACATTACCTCGCCACTGTCATAGTTGGGGTCATTCCGATCGATGACAGAATCACCATCAGTATCAAGTAGTTTTCCCCAAGTGCCTTTTCCTCCACCGCCATCTGAAATATTGCAACAATCACATTGAACAAAGTACATGTATTAGAATAAAAAAAAACAGAAGCAGAACCTCAGGCTGAGAAGAAGAATATAGAACGAATACAAAAATTTCATGGTCCACAAAAGTTGTAGCGAACAACATTCTGGCATATTGATATGCAGCTTAAAGTTAAAACTTAAAAGCCCGGTGCTCATGAAGTAACAGAGGTGCTGACTATGCCAAAATATCATTAGCTTACAGACAAGTTCTAAGGATTTAGTAACTAACATACTTCTACAGTAAACTGTATAAGTGCAAATACCATAAGATTTTTCAACATGCTCCTGTTTATGGAAAATGAAATAAAACTAAAGTCCAGGGTAAAAAAAAACATATGCGCGTCATGGTCCTCTTATTAATTTATGAGGTCCTCTTATTAATTTATGATGTCCTCTTATTAATTTATGAATTACGATTCCTACTTTGCCAAATGAAAAGAACGTCGATGACATGTGATTAATATTCTTTTTTCACATTAATTCCATACACTGAGTTGAGAATTCCACACGTGGTGAAAAGAATCACGGCTTTCTTGGGAAACGTACATATTACATAATCTATTGATCAATCAAGTTCTATTACATATTAACACTAAACAGCGCACATAATTGACAAAGAACAACCGAAAACCACAAATTTTGGAATAAAACAAACTTATAGCCTTTTGGGGGTTTTAGGCCTTAGTGAAGTCCCTCGTAAACTAATACGTAAGAGATCACTCAACATCAATGAAAGATCACTACTTAATTAAGACTTCAAGTTCATTCTTCGATCTTCAACACATCAAAAGGTAAATTGGATTCCAATAAAATTAATCCATTAAAACCTAGATTTACAGTCTAATTAAACACAACTAGAAGAGCAGATAGCAAATAGCCACCGAACATTTACCAACTTCCTTCGAGATCTTACCCTTCTTAACTCTGAAAGCTTTTCCAGAATGCGTACGGCGTACATGCCGGGCCGCCCCGCCCCCGGCCGCAGCCGACTGCCCGCCACCCGGAGCCTTGCCATGGTGCAGAGAAGAAGATTTCGGCGACGACGACAACGACAAAGACGACATCACTTCCGCATTCTGCGACGCTATTTCCATCCTCTTCCTCTGTTCCTCCGTCAGAAACCCATCGCTGCTAGCCATTTTTTTTCCCCTCCTCCACGATAAACCTCAACCAACTACAACATTATACAGCAGAAAAATTAAAGCAGTTCTCCAATTTCAAATTCGCACATTCATTAAAAGCTTCGCGCAAACATTAAAAAAAAAATCTCGGAGATTATTTACTTTAATACCTGTTTAGAGAGTGGAAAAATTCCCCCTATTCCTGGCCCGGATCTCGAGCCAAGAGAGGAGAGGCTGAGAGTTGAATACGATCGAGTTCCGATCTCTGCAACGCGCGGAAACTGACTAGATTGCGTTTGCAGTTTTTTTCCTGTTCAACCACTGTGTGAACTGTGTGCGCGTATGTATATATATGTGTCTGTATCTATAGGTCAGTTTTGGATGAGAGAGAAACTGCAGTGAGAGTGAGAGTGTTGAGAGAGAGAGGGGAAGTGGATGAGAACGAAGAATATAAAAATAGCGAGGTTTTTAAATTACACGTCAATCGCCTAAGATAGGTGTCCACGTGGCTTTAGCGCTTTAAGCGGGTTTTTTTTAATTGTTCCGTTCGGTTGCCATCTGTGCAGTGCTCTGCAATTTCGTGGAAAGTCGTGTTGACAGTTATTTAACTTCTTGTTCCGTCACGTGGTGTTGTCTATTTTGAGTGACTGGGGAATGTCCCGTTAGGGTTTGGGGAGTAGAGTGAATTACATAATTGGCCCTTGTCCTTGGTGATTTAGAATAGCTAATTTGTCTTTTAAGCCATCCACGAGGGAATGTCAAATAACGAAAAACAACCAATCATGTTTGGATAATTACAATAACACCCTATAATTATGAATCTTCTTATGTGTTTATTCTTGCGGTGTCAAATTTAGTGGAATCTTCTAGATTATGTGGAATATTCTTCAATTTGTGTCCGTTTTACACTATTATAGCTTCACATTTTGAAATAAAATGATCATAAGATGTGTCTTTTGACTTGTAAATATCAGATTATGGCGCATAAACTGCATTTTTGCACAAAACGAGTACAAACTACTGAACTTTACGTTGAATCTAAAAGATTATGTTAAATTTAATACCATGAGGATGGACGTATAAGAAAATTCATAATTGATGGTTGATTGTAATTACCCAAATATGAGGAGGTTTTTCATAATTTAACTTTACCTCAGGGAGTGACCGTTAATTTACCCTTATCTTTTATTTAACAAAATTAACATACAATTTGAAGGATACAATAGTTTTTTTTAAATTAATTTAAGATGATAATGCTACTAAGTTAACGAAATAGTGACACTTAGCGTACTTTATTTTTTTATAGCAACTTTAATTAAATATCGATCTCGTCAACCGGACGTTTTACTAGCTCCTTCTCTTTAATGAGTTCAACCTTACGGTGGCAACCGAACGAGCACTAATTGGAGTCGTTTCAACTTTCAATTCATTCTCTCCAAATAAACCCCAAAGTTTCTTGAAATTCATTTTCTACAACAAACATACTCTAAAAAAACATCACTTAATTACAAAAATTGCATCATAAAATCCCTTTCTAAGTATGGATTATCACCTTGAACCCTGAGCAGCAGAGCCAGGTGTTCTTGATCTATTCTTCCTATTTTTCCAGAACTCATCCTTCTTCCCCTTCTTCTGCTCTTTCAACAACCCCATACTGCTCTTCACAATACCAATAATCGCACTCTTGTCCTTCCGATTCTTAATCTTCGCCTTCACTTCCAGAATCGCCCTCAGCTTCTGGTACGACCTCGCATCCGGTATCTGCCCACTCTTTGCCATCTGCTTATGGTAAAAAAACGCCCTCTTGAAATCACGCACGCGTATGTACGCGTATATCATAGTCGAATACGTCACCGAATCGGGCTTCAAATTCAACGCGGCCATCTCTTTCAGCAGCTGCGGCAATTTCGATTCTTGCCCGCCCCTCGCGTAAGCGTTTATAAGCATATTGTAAGTCATCACGTTCGGACTTAAACCCTTTTTCCCAAACTCGCATACCACATCTCTCGCCTCTACGTATTGACCCTTTTTCGCGAATCCATCTAATAAAATATTAAATGTCACTCTCGTCCCTTCGATTTTATCCCTCGTCATCATTTTCCAAATCTTCATGAGCATTTCAGTTTCGCCAGCTCGTCGAAAAGCGTCCAGCAACGCAGTGTACGTTTCGATCGAGGGCTTTACTCCGTCTCGTAACATATTTTCGAAAGTGATGTAAGCTTTCTCGTGCCAGCTGTCAACCGAGTAGGCATGGATGAGAGCTGTGTACGAATGCGAAGAGGGTTTTATGCCGGCTTTTTTCATCCTCAAAAATGCATCCGCAGCTTTATCGCTCGTTTTCTTCTGCCTTCCGTAGGCACTAATTAGACACGTGTAGGATCTCACGTTCGGCTCCAACCTGGAAGCTTCCATTTCTTCTAGAAGCTTCTCGACGATTTCGGGCTCCATTCTTCTGCTATATGCATCCATTAATATGTTATACGAAGCGGAAGTCGGAGAAACACCTTTCGCTTTCATCTCGTCGAAAATACCCTCGGCCTCTTCCACCTGGTTCGACTTACTATAAGCGTCCATAATCGTGTTGTAAATAACGGCATTAGATTTTATACCCCGTTTCTCGAGCTCCGTTTGGATAATGAGAGCTTCTTTCTTCAAACCCTCGTCGCAGAACGATTTTATAAGAGCTCCCACATTTTCCAAACTCCACTTGACACCTTTCTCGTTCATCTTTTCGAAATACTCCCACGCTTCTTTAGCGCTGTCTCCTCTTTTTCTCATGATAGTAATCATTATCGAACTCGTTACGTGATCCGGTTTTATGTTACTCGTTTCCATCAACTCGTAAACATTCCAAGCATCATCGTACCTTCGACGAAGAAAAAAACACATTACACCGTTGAACAAGTGGACACAAATACAAGAATGTTACACATTTCACAAATCAAGAAACACCATTGACGTATATCATATCCACTTACAATTGACACTCGAACAAACTATAACAATCAAGTAACGTACGAAAAAATCGAAAAAAGAAAATTATACTACCTTCCGCTATACAAAAGCCCCGACATTGCGGCATTGTAAACACGAACTTCCATAAAAATATATGCATTTCACAACTCAAGAAACACCATTGATGTATACATATTCACTTACAATTGACATTCAAAAATACTACAAGAATCAAGAATCACACGAGACAATCGAAAAAATGTTATATTACCTCCCGCAATACAAAAGCCCCGACATTGCGGCATTGTAAACACGAACATCCTTAAACAACTTGTTCTGCTTGAAAGGCAGATTCTTCAACACCACCATCAACTCGGCCCCCTTTCCGACCTTTCCCAAAGCCGGAAACAAAACCGAGCACGCTTTCGGTGAAACTAAACAAGGCTCCTTCAATCCCATCCACTCGAAGAAATACATACACCCCATCACATTGCCTTCTTCAGCCAGCACCCTCAACACCTCCACACACTCCTCCTCACCTAACCCACCTCCGAAATCGCAACTTTCCAACGCTTCTCCTAACGTAACATTTTCCGGTAAGGCCCTCGCAATTTTCAATATTTGCACCACGACCCCTTTCTCCAATTCTGGTGCAGTTTCTGCTTTTCCGGTAATGCCCTCCTCTGCTTTTGTTACGGGTTCGGGCTCGGTGTTCTCGAAAGTGGAAGCTAGGTGCCATGAGGTTTTGCGGTTCTTTTGGAGGGGGATCCTGCCCTCTCGAGTCGGGTCCGGGTCCGGGTCTGAAGTTCGGGTCTTGAAGAATTTGACGATTGGGTCGTTGATTTCTGTCTCGATTTCCGGTTCGGGTTTTGGGGTTTGTTTCCTCGCTGGGGTTTGGAGGAAAGGGAGGAAAATCGGGGACGAGGGAGGAGGAGGAGAGGTGGAGGAGCAGCAGACGGAGAATGTTGTCCTCTGGTTTTTAGATAATTTAGGGATTTTGAAGAGATTGGGAATTGGAAAATGGGGAGAGTGCAGTGAATATGAAGGAGAGGAAGAAATGGAGAATCGACGGTGGAGGTTTAAGGGTTCAACCGCCATTTTCGAGTTTCGGAGAGCTGGTGGAGCTGCTGTGGTTTAGTATTTGCAGAAATGTATGGCAATTGCTGGACGACGTCGTTTCAAGTTTTGGCCTATTTTGTCATAGATTTCTAATTCACTTCTTTCTATCCAAACAAAAATATGAATGAGTAGGTTAATTTAGTAAAATAGAAATCAGCATTGCATAATCATTATTTTAATTTCATTTAAAATTACAATCTATCGTTTTCGCATATTTGCATTTATTACTCTTAATTAGCGCGCGTGGAATTCGTGAAAATAAAATGAATAGAAAGGGTATTTTAGTCCTACTAAGTTTTTCGTTCTCTGAAATCGACCAATCGGTTCGATTTCTCAAGACATGCCCACCGACACAAAATGACACTTACTTTAAAACAGATGTAGTAATTTTTCAGCGTTTATTGGAACTTTTCATGAGCTAAATTTACTTCATTTGTTGATACCTATATAGCATGGAAAGTAGAAGCTTTGGGGACGTTTGTTTCTATTTTCAAACCTCATTTCCAGTTTTATACTATTCATAAAACTGAGATCATGTTTGTTTGATAATTTTATTCAGAAAATTCCATTTTTTTTTCTCAAATTTCTATTGAAAATACACTATTCATACTTTTTTCAATTTCCAAACCTACAAAAACCTACTAACTAACCTATATATTTTAGGGTTAACTGCAAAAAATCCCCTAAACTTTGGACGTTTTTGCGCTTTACCCCCTGAACGGAAAAAAGTTGCACGAGCATACCTGAACTCTATTATTTTTAGCACCAATGTCCAAAATATCCATTTTTGGCCAAAATTGACCGGAATCCAAGTCACGTGCCTTACACGTGTATATAGCTGGGGTAAATGAGTCATTTACACCCATTTTCTTTCTTTTTCTTTTTAATAAATCTTAAAAAAAAAAAAAAAAAAAAAAAAAAAAAAAAAGGAAAAAAGGCCTCTTCTTCCCGTCACCATCATCCCCAACCAAACTCCTCCCATAACACCAGCCCCAACCAAAATCCTCCCATAACACCAGCCCCAACCAAAAGATGCAACAAAACAAACAACTCCTCTCTTCTTTTCTTGATTCTTTTACAGAAATAGTTCAATTATTGAGAGAATTGAAAAACGATATTCTTGGATGGGTTGCTTGTGGATTTAATGTGGGATGTGTTTGACTGGTTTTATAATCCTGGTGCACCGGGAAATGCGGTGTTTATGTTCAGGACAATGAGTGGATTGGATAGCAGGTTGTGGCTGGAAGAGAAGGATCTTGATAAAGTTGATTTCTCTTTCATCATCTATGCTTGTAAGAATTTATGATTTTTTAATTGTCTTTTTTTTTTCTTTTTTTTTTCTTTTTTTTAATGTTTCATTACTCGTGAAGAAAAAAGGGTTGGTTGATTAATTATTTAATTGATTAGGAGGGTTTTTAAAATTTAAAGTTCATATTGGAATTAATAATGGATGATTTGAAGAACTGTAAACTGATTTTTTTTTTTTTTTGAAGTTGTAATTTGTGAAATTGTGATTGACGGTTTGAAATTATATGGAGAAAAAAAACCCAGTGATTTTCATCTTCATTTGTGTTTATTCTTCAGATAAAAGAATAAATAAAAAAAGAGAAAAGATGGTGCGGCGGCGGTGGAGATAGATGGTGGTGCGGCGGCGGTGGAGAGAGATGGTGCGGCGGCGGTGGAGAGAGATGGTGGTGCGGCGGCGGTGGAGAGAGATGGTGGTGCGGCGGCAGTGGAGAGAGATGGTGCGGCGGCGGTGGAGAGAGATGATGGTGCGGCGGCGTTGGAGAGAGATGATGGTGCGGCGGCGGTGGAGAGAGATGGTGGTGCGGCGGCGGTGGAGAGAGATGGTGGTATGGCGGCCGTGGAGAGAGATGGGCGGCGGCCGTGGAAAGATGGTGGTGGCTGTGGTGTGGAAAGATGGTGGTGGCTGTGATGTGAAAATCTTCCCCTGTTTTGAAGCAACAGGGAGACGAAGAATCGAAGATGATGGGGGCTGTGTTCCCTTTTTTTTTTTTCTTTTTCCTTTTTCTTTTTTTCTTTTTCTTTTCTCTTTTTTTATTTATTCTTTTATCTGAAAGTTTTGTGAATCGACGAAATTGCCCCTTCATTATCACATGTGAGTTGCACGTGTGCAATTCAGGCCGAAATTTTGCTATAAATGGATTTTTTCATCATCGGTGCAACAATTTAACAAGTTCAGGTATGCTCGTGCAACTTTTTTCCGTTCAGGGGATAAAGCGCAAAAACGTCCAAAGTTTAGGGGATTTTTTGCAGTTAACTCTTTTCCACCAACTCATTTCTCTCTCTTTATATTCATCACTCCTCATTAATATTTACACTCTCTCTCCTCATTAATATCTACACTCTCTTTCCTCCCAATTTCTCTTTCTTCTTCTTCTTCTTCTTCTTATAATAATAATAATAATAATAATAATAATAATAATAATAATAATAATAATAATAATAATAAGAAAATGCTATTTGCGGTCACAAAATTGCTATTCGCGGTTTATAACAAAACCCCCCAAAACTTTTAAAAATATCAAAAAACCCCCCAAAACTGCAAATAGCAAAAAAAAATAAAAAAAAAATCGAAAATTCGAAATCAAGCTTGAAGAAGGGTTGGGCTTCGATTTTTTGATGTAATTTCGACTCTTTTATGTGTAACATGCATTGGGTAGGTCGATTACGGAACCAATTTCATGTTAAAAAGCCCTACAAATCAATTTGTAGGGCTTTTTTTTTCACAAAAAAATGTTCGAACGCCCAAGATGGGCGCCCAAGGCGTGTACGAACATCTTGGGCGTTCGAACATTTAAAAAAAAAAAAAAAATTTTTTTTTTTTGCACTGGACGCCCAACTCGGGCGCCCAAATGCAGCTTGCACGCCCAACTTGGGCGTGCATTGCATGAATGGGCGCCCAAGTTGGGCGTTTACGCGTTTTGGGGGGTGTTTTTGGATTTTTTTGGAAAGTTTTGAAGTTTTAGTGAAATAAAGTGTTTTTTTGGGGGGTTTTGTTAGAAACCGCAAATAGCAATTTTCAAACCGCAAAAAACAATTCCCTAATAATAATAATAATAATAATAATAATAATAATCACTATCATCATCCTCAATCATTATATTCTACTTTTGCACGTACTTTCGTAGAGAAAATTCACCACAACCAAACATATTCTCATTTCTACACCTACATAAAACTAAAAATACCTCTTCATCCAAACATATTCCCATTTTCTACACAAAAACCAATAAACTACTTTTTCCATCAGAAATTTTGAAAACTAGAAATTCCCATTGGAAACATAACCAAACATCCCCGAACAACTTCATACAATTTTCACGCTTCGGCCATGTTTTGTGTTGGATACTCGATGACACTTGTCGGACATCTCTCGGGCTATTTTGTAATTTCTAAAATGTTAGAAACATGTTTGGATAGTACATTTTCAAATATTTTTGTTGATTCCCTAATTATTTACATAATTTAATGACCAATTGAAAATTGATAGTTGATAATAAAATTTATTTTGAATATGAGAAAGTATATATATATATACTAGTAATCTACCCGTGCGATGCACGGTTAGTTTATTTCCAAGAAAATATTATTCAATTATATTGTATATTGCAAAACAAATAACGATAAGAATTAGTACTATTTAATACACTTATTTTAGTTTATTTCCAAGAAAATATTATTCAATAATATTGTATATTGCAAAACAAATAACGATAAGAATTAGTACTATTTAATACACTTATTCTTCTACAGTAAATGTGACCAATTAAAGTGATGCGGCACACAAAAATCTTGAATTCCAATAATGCATATATAAGATATATCCATAAACAGATGTAAAAATAACAATCAAATAAAATATCAGCACCAAACTACAATGATGAAAAAATATGTAGACTAAACTTAGAGGGTCGATGACGTTCGCTGGAAGCATAATCCGATATTCATCCGGTGGACCACCTTGCACTCAGATTGACAAACACAAACACAAACACAAAGCAAATAACTCTCATTCTCAGATTTTACAAATACTGACAAACGAACATGGAATATTTTTTTTTTGTTTTGAAAAACAAAGAAACTCGATGTTTTCAGAAAAAAAGGAGTAGCAAATTGACTCACATTCTCTATCTTTTTTCAGAGCAAGAGCAAGAAAAAAAGTCCAACAAATTCTGCCCCTTCTAACCTTTCTATAGCAAAGGGAAATTAAAAAACCCTTTAGAAAACAACAAAAAGTTGGTACAAATAAAACAGACGTGCATGAGAGATTTTAATGAACATTATTCGTTATTTATTGGAGGAGGATAGCCAAAAAATTATTTAAAGAATAAATAATTAACCAAAAATATTAAACTCACTCGAAATTCCTAACATTAAGAAAAGAAAAAAAACACTATTTGAAAACTATATAGATTAGTAAGAATAATAATCATCAATTTTACCGTAATGATGTCAACCAATTTTGTGGTTTGGAGAAGTACTATCTTCAATGTGATGAAAGTTTTTATCCATCAACCGACCATAAAACAAATTATATGATGGAATCCAAATTATAAGCGTCACCATTATTCATATTCTTTACTAAAACCAGAAATACGCATACACACACACGCAGCATGCTACACACACTATCACACAACTAACACACACAACACTACTATAATTGCACAAATAAGTAAAAACACCAGCCAAAAAAAACAGAGTGAAAATAATGTGTGGGAAAAAGAAAAACCATAAGTATAGAAGGATCTTTCTGAAATGGAAAATAAATCTATGCAACCGATATATTCAGAAGAAAAGAGGAAAAAAATACTGATGAGGCCGATGGTGGATGCAACAAAAGAATGATGTTTCTAAAACGGGCCTATGGAGTATAGCCAAGTTAAAATAATCAAAAACCGTCTTCTGAAGTTGAGAAATGGGAGAAAGAAGTTGGAACGCCAGTTACAAAAACCGGCCAAAAAAAAAGAAAAAAATAAAAAAATAAAAAAAGGAGAAAGGAAGGGGACGGGTGGGCAGAGAAGTTGAAAGGGGCGAGTAAAATTAGGAAAAATAAGAACGTGTAAACTTTTATTCCCAAAAAAATTCTAGGGTTTTTCCAAAAAGTAACCAACCTTACTTCTTTTATGTATAAGATATATATATATATATATATATATATGAAAATATTATATGTTTATATAACATATTTATAAATATACCCCTATATTTTTAATATTTACACATTTCCCCAAACCACCGTATCCCCATTTTTTGAAATATGCCGTTTCCTCGTGTCCGTTTCCCCATTTCCTAGTATCACCATTATCGTGTTCATGCTACATAAGTTAATACTAATGATTAATGAATTTTCATAATACTAATGACTAATAAATGACAATTAAGAAATCTCTATCTCATATCTCAAACTTCTAACTACAAAAGAGAGAGAGAGAGAGTTATGTACAAGAAGAAAGAGTTCTTTTGTCAAGAGGGAGGAACAAGTATATCCAAATAATCAGATGCAAATTCCTCATCATTCTTACCCAACATCTCCTTCAATGTAAACTCTACATTCCTACCTTTCAAAGCCCAATACCTCGGCTTTATCTTCTTCTCCAACGAGTAGCTAAAATACCTCGGATACTCCACAACTTCTCTTACGGACCGCCCCATCGTCTTCACTAAAAACTCCATCTTCGGTCTCAAAACTTCCTCGATACTATAACCGAGTAGAGGCGAGAATCTACGTACCATGAACCCTATATCATTTCTTGAAAGCCCCAGCTTCATCAGATACCTCATTCTGTTCGAAAGACAAAACAAGTAAATGGTAAGAATCTTGATTTTGGAGCAAGGCCCGTTTATCGGAATTTTGATTATTGTTCCTTTCTTACCTTGGAAGTAATGCTTTGTCGACATCACAAACAAATAGTTCCGGGTATTTTCTGATAACCCTCGGAAGGTGAGTTTTGGAAATTCCAATATCGGAAAGAAACTTCAACTTCTTCTCGAGTGTGTTGTCTATGCTTGCAGCAAAAATTTCGGGGCAACGACTAATTGTTCTAGCAATAGATTCCTCGTCTAAACCTAAATCTTTGAAGAAAGATACCACCTGTTGGGGTAAAAGCAAAGACGAATTGATGTCAAAGTTAAACCAATTTCCAGTTTTATCGGTGAATTTCAATTTAAGTCGTTTTTCTTATGAACCAACCTGAAGAAATTCTTGAGGCTTGCGAAGTAGTAGCTGCGGGCTTGTGGCAATAACTTGACCTAATTTCTTATTTTTAATGCCCATCTCACTTAACTGGTCCACCATCAGCTTCAGCTTGTTAACTGAACAACCCAAGATATGAGGCCAGTTTTTTATTGCACGGGAAGAGAGAATTTTCGGGACCTGGAAAATACACACGTGAAAAAATAAATTAATATCATCTGAATTTGTTAATTTTATCAGATATACCGTTTTTACAGTAATTAAGCATCTCCTTGTTACTAGGTACCTTCTCCTCATCAAGGAAATCGAGGACTTTCTCAAAATTTTCCAAGATGCTAGCAGAAAGAAGCCATGGATACTTGACAAGCATCTTTCCAAGATCGTTATCTTTTACACCAATCTACAAAGCAAAATATCAAGAATGGCTAGATATCAGTTGACAACTTCGATAATGCATAGTATCTTAGAGACTTATAAATGTTCAGATTCTCTGTATAGAAGGTTTTTCAGGTTTTAGAACTCCGCCCAATCGCGCATCACTTGAACAAAGTTATTACTATCTAAACCGGCAAGCTCCACAAAACCTTATTATGCAATTATAATATTTATATGTTAATCTTGACACCTGAGAAATGTTGGTTCTCTCGAACATACTTTTACTAGGATAATCAAATATTCAAATTTCAGTATTGCACATACACATAGGCAATAGCACTGGGAATTACGATTTTTTGAAATCTTACGAAGAAGGTTCAAGATCACCTTAAGTAGAACCATGTTTTATGCATTTTCCTGCAGTAATCTATTATCCATCTTCATGTAAGAACAAATTCAGGGCAAGGACTACGATTACAAATCTCACACACTTACGACATACGAAAAACAAAGTGTTACCTTCTGAAACGAGCGTAGTCTTGGTTTGATATCCTTGTCAATGTCATAGGACAAAATAGGTGGGAATAACAGAAGAACGTTTCTTACGAGTCTTTTAGGGACCCCAATATCTTCCAAGAACTGCACAAGTGGCTTCACTCGAGATTGTAGAGGCGTAAGCAGAAGGCGCGGAAAAGATTCAATGAGATACCGAAAAGAGGTATGCTCCGAAGCCAAAAGATTCAAACCCCCACGCCTTGCTTGAATCTACACGAGAAATAAAAGGTTAATATATTTCCTCATAACAGTGCTACGACAAACACAAAATCATTTATCAACAAGTGTTGAAACCTTTTCGAAAAATGCTAATGTTTGCTGCACATCATCATCGGCAGAAATGGAGAGGTGGGCCATCATACGCCGCGCATTTTTTCCGATAAGTTCGTGTTCATCGCTGTCAGAAAACAATATTTCCTTCACATACTTAACCTATTGGTAATCGAAAAAGAAAAGAGAAGAAAAAAAATCAGAAAAAAAATGATTCTTGCGTGGTAGAAAAGAAAAGAGGAAACAGAGGCAATTCGACAAACACCTTGTGGACGAGAAGGGGAAGCGCATTGGATTTTGAAGAAGAAAGATATCGAGCTAAGTGATTGGCGGAAGAGAGAGAGAGGCCGAGGCTCTCCAGGAAGGGGAGAATACCATTATCCTTTTTCTGTTCCGCCATTCGGTACACTTTCGTCCTAAAATCTAGGGCATCCGCCGTGATTTCTTGGCTGGGACTTGCGGCGGCGGCGGCGGACCAAGTATTCCAGTCGTCGAGGTCATCGACGCCGTCAATCAGCATCTTCAAATAGTTGGGGCAGTTGACGGAAATGATGGCGGCGTCTTCTCTCGGAGCTCCTGCTTGTTCCAAATAATCCCTCACGGCTTCTATTGCTTCTTCTAAGCGCTTCTCGTTTTCTTCCGGCTCGGAATCGGGGTTATTGAAAGCGGTCGCGGAGCTCCGGCAGTTGCTGCGGTTGTTGTGGAGGGAAATTCTGAGAACGGAGAAGGAGATGGAGATAGTTTTGGCCGGGTTTTGCGGTGGTTTCGGTGATGCGAAGAGGTGGGTGTTGAGAAAACGGCGGCTGTACGGAGGAGGGAAGGAGGAGGCCGATAGGGAGTAGTGGCGGCGGTGGATGTTCGCAGCCGCCATGAGAGTTGGCGGAGCTACGACTGCGTTGGAGCTGCAGTTCATATCATGGTTAAGAAATTCAAATTTATCTAATTTCTGAAGATTTAATTTAACAACTTTGATATGATTAGTAAATAATAATAATAATTTATCATAGTTCAATTAATAATAAATAATAATTGAAGAAAATATTAATTCTTGGTGAACTATGTAAAACCCTTGCAACATTTGCAGAGCTTACAAAGAAGGGTTTTGTACCTTTATTAAAAAAAAAAGATAAATAAATAAATAAAATGGGAAGGGTTTTTGTAGGAATTATGGTGCATATAAAATGTGAAATGTAGGCAAGATATGGTTTTTGTATGTTATATTTTGGTACACGTGTAGTTATTTTTTTACACATATTCACATGTGTGTTATTGTGTTGAATAGGATGAATAATTTAAGAAATAACAAAAATATTTAAAATTTTGATATTCAAACACATTTCTAACTTATTAGAAATTGCAAAATGTTCAATTAGGTGTCCGTTAGGTGTCCTCGAATTTCCGACACAAAACGTTTCCGAAATACAGAAACATTAAGAAGTTGAAGTTTCCGTGCTACGTAGCTTATCACTCGTCAATTCATAAATAAGTCATTTCGAAAAAGAGTTCAAAATTAACCTCAACTTTAAATATATCAGAACAAACGATTTTACAAATACAAATCAATTCAATCCATCCAAAGCTACAATCCTATAGCATTCATAAAGATATAAAAACAACATTTAATATGTTAATTTAGCTACATTGAGTACATTCTATTTTCTTTTTATTTTTTTAAATTGTTTTTTTTAATGCCAAAAAACAAATGAAGTATCAGTCAAATTATAGTCATGACCTAAACTTTGATTATACCATGTTAGGCCTCTGAGGAAGCAAAAGATTGTAGAATTTGTTCTGCAAGAAGAAATGTTTCCCCTTGCCATCTACAGCCTTCTTCCATCCACACCAACCCCCGTTGACTATTTTCTTGAGGTCCTCGTTGCCCGTGTAGTGGGGGTCGAGTATAAGAAACGCACAGTCACCGCTTACCTCGTTGTAATCGACCCCCAAAAGGGTATACGCAAGAACACCTCCACCTGTAAATACATATATTCAAGAACTCGTATGTAAATTTAGTGTTCGATAAAAATAAAAAAGCTCGGGTTTTTGAATAAAAAAAATACGAGAGAAAACGTTTGATGGTTTCTTTCTAACCAATCATTATGGGGGTCCCTTGAGTCTCGAAATGCAATGCGAGCTCACGACATTTCTCTGGAACCTCGGCTCCAGACCTCACGTTAATGACTTTGCAACTCACCTGATAAAGATCAATTTTTATAAATTTCGTTCGAATTCGACATAGGAAAACAAAAATATTGAACGAAAAAAAAAATGAACTGTTAGATTTTATTGTAGGTCATTTGCTGTTGGAAGTAATACTTACTCCAAGTAATTTGTCCAAAACAAAACTCAACTCAATGGCACCAATCCATTCGCGCGACCCGACAAATGAAGGGTCCTTATCACCAATCTCGACCAATGCCTGTTGTATTTCCCTGCAATAATAAAACTTCAATTGCGTATTATTACAACAAAATAAAGGGATAAAAGAGTAAAATGCACCATCGGTCTATTTATTTACTTCGAAATTGAATCAGAATTTCTCAAAGATCGGACAAAGTACCTGTGTGAAGGGACATCAATTGAAGTATAGTGCTGTTGCCTGAACCATGAAATGATAGTTTGCAGTGAGCGGTAAGCACAACCCCATCCCTGCCATGTATAGTTATATTGTTAATCACACTGATCTAAAAAGACAAAAGTAATACTATCAGATTATTATCCATTTGAAATACTAGACCACTCGACAGTAATTTTTTGGCAGAAAACAAATAGTAATTTACGAGATAAAGCTGTATTACCGAATCGTCATATCCATCTTGGAGGTAATGATAATACTCATAAGAACCTTGAACTAGAGACACATGGCCACCAGATACTGCACAGTAATTACGATAGTGCCACAGTCAGCACCAAGTTCCGATACATTAATTGCGAAAAAAAGAAGCAATTCGATGTAAGAAACTGAAAAGCATAGTGCATGAGTGTCAAGGTTCAAGACCACAATTACCTCCACTGCTTGGAATACCGTGATGAACATCCTTCAGCAAATAGGATCCTAATATAAACAATGGATCAACAATCTAAAATTAATATATACTCCAAATTCGAACAAAGAAAATCACCAATAAAGATTTATAGGCATATACGAAGTTACATGCTTACCCTTTAAATTTGATTTGTCCCTCGTGTCGTCCTTTGACGAAGATAAATTTATCGCATTGGCAATCCTCAAAAGAGGGCGATCAAATGGCAATCCTAGTCTCAGGTGAAGAGATTTTCGAACTTCAACTGTAAAATGCAAGGTATTCAGATTAACTATAATACCAAATCTAACATAGAATGAACCATTAAGTTAATAGTTTCTTTTGTGCATTTTCCATACATTCAAGATTTAAAATCCCTCAGGCAATACTGGCATGTGAGATTATATCGTTTGAATCTATTCATTTTGTCATTATGCTATTTTTTATCTATACAGATAAGAGTACTAAATCGAAACACCTTAGCTTTCTTTTCTTGCATTAGTACTTACTTTTCATACATTACAACAGCCAGGAAGATGTCTTACCCACAATATTTAACCCCAAATTCCCCAAATTGTTTGAGTATTTCTATCAGAAACGTTTGACACTTAATCAGTTATTTAGAATCATAACATCTGGATAGGAAAGTATTTTTACGTTCTCATTGACCGAATAGCTAATTCCATGTTCTGGGTCAATGTATTATTAGAATATCAGACTAGGACTAGCACATTCTATCATGATACCAACACAATCTTTTTGGGGCGCTTGAACCTCTTGACTATTTTTGGTAGTATTTAATACGGGAGGTATCTCTTAATCACGACAAAATATAAAAAAGAGAAGCACATACAAGTAACAATATTGATTATTAACTAGCTAAATTGGAATTCCAAGGATAAGACAAATATTCCGGCTACACAATTTTTGAGCTCTAGATAAAGAATACCTTGCTTCAATTCTGTCTCCCCGTAGCTAAGTTCATATATAACAGTTATTGGATGTAGAAATCCTGAAGGAATAAAGTGGTACGGCCGCAGCTGCAGAAGAGATATGTTTATGTTTTCAGCACTTTGCAGTCTTGGAAAGGAATAAAAACATTAATAGAAAAAAATCTTAGAAACATCGAAAGAGGCCACAGACAGAAAATCCATTCACGTAGCAACTGAACCTGAAATATACATTGATTTACAGGAACACTAAATCTCTATGGGTTTAAGTATGATATATACAATAATGTGTCTGTAGGTATTCATTTGCGCAGAGTAAATGTATACAACTGTATATATGTATATTATATGTTCTAAAAACAGCATAAATGACAACCTATACATAAGAATTTAAATAAGGTCTCCACAGAACAAGTACACCAAGTAATATCAGGTTAATGGATTATGATCGTCTTACCAGTGGATGTTGCATCATGAGATCCGGCAAGAACTTTTTCTTTAATGAATGTAACTGGTCAACTAGTCCAGGGATGATTAACTTCGAAACCATACGTGTCAATGGCAAATCTTTTGTAGCATAGGATAACACTTCTAATTTATGATTGACAACCAAAAGCTTAGCTTCTCCCAGTGCTGGAAAGGAAAAACAAAATAGTTTAGAAACTGTTAAATGAATAGTCAAATGTAAAAAGATCAATAATCATCAATCATGCTAAAACGGGAGAGAGAAAACACGTCAATATCCCGACTCTGAACTTTGCTAAAGAACATCCAAAAATAACTTTTAGCTCACATTATTATACCTGGGTAATATTCGGCAATAGGAGCAGCAGGTTCACCACTACTTCTTGACCTATTAAACATGATGCTGACTTGAATTTTATCTGCATCCTAAGTAAAAACAACAATTAAAGAGAAGCTCATAAAATTTAAAGTTCATCACATCAATAGTAAAATCAATAGCAACAAAAAAAGACAGTAGTACCTCCTCGAACGAGGTAATAGATGTAGTATCTTTAGTTTCCGAGAAAAAGTACGAACAGGGGAGAGATTTTGCAAGGGACTCTTCGTCAGATTCAATTATAAAAGCATTTTCCGGAAGCTCCTCTGGCAAAATCAATTGCGTTCCATGAAGAATGACAGGGTGGGGTCCACCAGATGAAGTTTTATTTTGTGATTCTATAATGAATGCAACTTGTGGATCTCTAAGTTTTCTTTCGACATCTTCAATAGCTCGTACGTATGCACTTTCCACATCTAAACGGAATGCAACTTATTCAGCAAGATGAAAGGAAAGATTCAAGCAAGCCTATGGCCAAGTATGATATATCAACAAAAATAGTAACTTATTTATATAATGTTGATAAGAAACAACAAATGACCATGGTTCACCTGTAGGATTCTTTAACGAATAATAAACGGGCAACTTCAGAGGAAGTTCACATCGAATTACGCAACCTTTCTCCCATACTTCTCTCTCAGGCTGATCCTCATAAACAACAGTACTCACTCTCTCCAAATTACGCGAATTGCCTGTCCTCGATACGAAAAACTGCACATCACCCTCACCACAGGCATTGTTCAGATCCAACACAGCTCCAATCAATACTCGATCTTCATTGTCATTACCGTATCGGGCCTTCCTAAAATTCCTAACTGCTGAAATAGCATCACCAGCAATTTTTTCTACCTTCACATCAGTCTTATCGTGAACAATCACCGCCCCGATTACTTCAAAACCCCTTGGAAGCAGGCTCCTGATTTCATCTGTCAGTCAAGCACCATTCAATTTATATCCATATGTTACAAAAATTTAATTTTACATTCAATTTTTTTTTTTCGAGAAACAAGTTTTGACAGATGATTTTGAAAAAAAAAATCCAGATTACTTCAACTTATCTTCAAGAGTGATTTCAATAAAAACAAACAAAATAGAATAACTTAATTTACAACTGGAAAATGACCATCTCGACAATCAATTGAATGCCAAAACGCACAAAATGTGCATCATTTCTTCAACAATTCAAACCCTAAACCAAATTTAATACATAGCTTAATTTACCTGATTCATCGGGCAGGTGAGGAGAGAGGGGATCGGAAGGGAGAGTGTGGAGGCATCGGATGGTGGAGACGATGCTCAACGACGGCAGGAACTGGGAGCCGATCAGCCACTGGAATCCGGCTTCTTTCTTCGAAATCACCAGATTCCGGCAGAGGATTCTAATTCCGTCGTCGATTTGAACAACCATGGTAGATTAATTGAGTTACAGTCGAGTCCAAACAGTGTCAAGAACCCCAAACCCGCAGAAATTTTCTGAGTTTATATACATAATTATTATTGCTTATTAATATATTTTATAGGGGAAAATACAGTTTGCACCCCCTGAATTATTGGGTTTGTTTTAAACACCCCTTGAACTGCAAAATATAACAAACCGCCCCCTATCATTTCCAGTCAACATTTGAAAAACCAACGACGTTAGGTTTTTTTTGTGATTTTACTTATTTGCACTTAAATTTATTCACAAAATTTGCACCATTCAACAAACACTAGCCAAACGAGACCCATCACAATTCTCGCTCCGATTCTCCATCAAAGTTAGTGGGTGTGAGAATCGATTGACCGGCCAAATACAGGTGCAGAACTGCATGTAGGCGGAGATCGGCGATTTCGCGCAGGATGTCACGTCATTACAAAAAAACGGATTGAAAACGGAGGGACCATTTTGTTATATTTTGTAGTTTATGGGGGCGCTTAGGATCAAACACAATAATTCAGGGGTGCAAACCGTATTTTCCCTTATTTTATAATAGGCACACATTTAAAATATACTTTCCTTTATAATTGTGTGTGTGTAGGTGTAGAAAATAGAATGTAATCCTTTCTAGAATTTGTGAATTTGGAACAATAATTTTCAACCCAAATTCCAAATTTTCCTTTAAAAATTTAATTTAGTTTGAAATATCAATTTTAGTAAAATGTTTTTTACGGTTTGAAAATTATTATTTACTGTTCATAACAAAAAAAACCCTTTTATCTCTCTAAAACCCTAGAACCTCCTACAATCCCCCACCCCAAAATACAAATAGCAAAAAAAAAAATTCGAAAATTCGAAATCAAACTTGAAGAAGGGTTGGGCTTCGATTTTTTGAGATAATTTCGACTCCTTCATGTATAATATGCATTGGGTAGGTCGATTACGGAACCAATTTCATGTTAAAAAATTTGTAGGGCTTTTTTTTCGCACATACACCCACGAACGCCCAAGACGGGCGCTCACGGCGTGTATGAACGACCGTTCCGGGCGTTCGTACACGCCGTGGGCGCCTGCCTTGGGCGTTTAATTCAGCTGTCTTGACAGTAAATAACAATTTTCAAACCGTAAAAAGCAAGTCCCCAATTTTATTATATACTTTACATATATTATAGGTGAAAACAATCATTTCGATTCTTGTCGATTACGATCTGAAAAATATAAAAAATTGAACTAGTTTTTTATGGAAGTGTTGGTTCCAATTCAATTTGATTTCCATCATCATGTATGTACACGTGAGAAAGAATATTTGAATAATAGAACCTCCTGCATTTTGTGTACAACACATACAACACACGTTTAAACTTCTATAAATTAATACATCTATGACTAGTCAAATTCTATTAATTTATTGAAATAATAATCAATCAAAATATTTTTTTTGGCATGAAAAAAAAAAATTTAAAAAAATTTACTAATTTATCGATGTTGTACTGTATATGTAGAATTTAGAGATCTAGAAAAAAAAGTGTGAGAGCTCAATTGAATTGACTTTTCCTATAAAAAAAGAAGAAAAAAACATACAAAACTTCAAATTAATTCCCACTAGGTTTACATAAATAAAATTATAGTAAATGTTGTGTTATTTGCATGCCTAGTACTAAATAGACTCAAAATAATTTCAACCACCTTAATTAAATAAGATTTCAATAATATATATCTTTATTTGTATGCGTATGCTAATATCTTTTTCCAACCACGTGTGCTTGAGTTTTGGCGATCAGTTATAAAATTGTTATATTGTTTTCACATTAAATAGTGACGACAATTATAATGTTACAAGCAATAAAATGTACATATAAATATTCAAACTCAATCGATTATAAATTGCATTCCCGTTGAAATTCACCGAAAGTAGCCTCGAGTAAACAAGATGAACGTGGAACTTGATTTTGATTATGATTATTGCTAGTATTTGTAAAAGCTTTTAAAAATAGTTTCTGAGTTCTTTTGTTTTACACACACATGTATGTAAACTGTTGTAATTAGACTTATAGCAATCAGCTCACATGCAATCAACACGACAATCGATCTTTTAACATAGATCAATCAGTACACCACATGCAAACTCTAATTCTATACAATGAAGACAAGATGTAACGTGGTTCAGACAATTGTCCGACATCCACTAGAAGAGAGTTAAGCTTCTTTATTGATTCACAATACACTTCACACACACTCAAGAGAGATTACAAGATAGAAAGATTCACTCAAGAAAACTTTACGACTTACAGTTTTCTTCCACAAGCAACAATGGCTTCCCTCTCTTACTTTCATATCTCTCTAATCTCTCTCTTCTATAGTGTGTATCTCAATACGTATATAACCGAAGTACTTAAGACATGAGCCTTTGTTCTCTTAAATACTCTTGTTGGTGTGTGTCCACACAGCCTCACTCGTGTCAGATTCCACTTGTTCCATTCATCATGTTCAACCTCAGTATAAGTTAGTTAGAGAAAATTTTATGCATCTACATGACCTCGAGCGCACATTTTCTAGGTTGATCAGCTTCCGTTCTTTATTTACCACGTGGACAAGCAACTTCAAGAAGATTGAAGATCAAATAACATAAACTAAAAAAAAAATATGATTCCATCAAATGTATGACCAAATTAATTGCCAATCTTGAGTGCACCACAAGTTCTAGTGTTAATTAGCGCGTGTTGGACCTTGACATTGGTCCTTGCTTGCGCGAGTGGTGTTCTAGTAGCGCCTATATTTTTTTATTATTATTATATATATATATATAATTATATATATACACGAAACACACTTCAAAACTGTTTCCTTTATAAATTCACAGCTTTCACGTGTTCCATTTTTTCACTGAAAATTCAATAGTATATATATATATTAATCATTTAATTTCCAAACCCTTAAAAAGCTTTCCGTCGATATATATATATGATCCACTTGCACAAGAAATTTTCCGGCGAAACGGATCTGTATTTGAGTCCTCCGGTTGCCGGAATTGTTGCCGTCGAAATGCCGGAACCCGACGTCCATGTTGTCACCTCCGCCGGAATACTCATTCCGGCGCACTCTAAAATCCTGGTACTTTCTCACTCCTCTCTCTCTCTCTCTAGACTCGTATTTTTTATTCAAATTGTTTTAATCCGAGACGAAAAGGTTCGGATTTAATTTTCAAAATTAATCTGCAGGCTTCTGCATCGCCGGTGCTGGAGAGCATAATCGAAGCGACGCAAAACCGCCATAGCTCCGGCCGGAAAATCCCCATTCTCGGCGTGCCACACGACGCCGTTTCCGTGTTCATGCAGTTTATTTATTCCTCGAGGTGAGTTTCTTCCAAGCTACACGCACGCGGAAACCCCAAATTGACATTTTAAATGTCAAATAATCTGTGTTTGAATTTTTCTCATAAAACTGTAGTTCCTGCAAACTTTGAATTTTGACCAATTAAACGAGAATTTAAGGTATTCAATATCAATCGTCAAACTTTTTCTTCTGCCTACACGTGTCATCTTCTCATTGCTCCTCGATCATCACAATTTTCAACCCGTAAAAAAACTTTTTTACGGTTTGTTGTGTGCTACACTCGATGAACTACACCGTATATATCAAATGTGAAAAACTAGTTAATGAATTTTTCTAAATGTAGAATCTACACGACCGTGAAATGACTACATTGCCCTTGTTTTACTTTCAGATGCAGTGAAGATCAAATGGAGAAATATGGGATTCATCTGCTAGCACTGTCGCATGTATACATTGTACCACAGCTAAAGCAGAGATGTACAAAAGGTTTAGCTCAACAATTGACAGTCGAAAATGTGGTGGATGTTCTTCAGCTCTCGAGATTGTTCGACGCGCCTGATCTTTACCTCAACTGCATGAAAGTCTTATCCAACAACTTCAAGATCGTAAAAAAAACCGAAGGATGGAAGTTTTTGCAAAACCACGACCACTATCTCAAACTCGAGATCTTGCACTTCATCGACGAAGCTCAATCCGTAAACACCCTTACATAAACTACTGTACTATGCTCTTTGTCTAGTGAAATATAATAATAATAATTGTTTGATTTGTTTTTATCGGGACAGAGGAAGAAGAGGACAAGGAGGCGTAAAGAGGAGCAGAATTTATACATAGAGCTAAGTGAAGCAATGGATTGTCTAGTGCATATATGCACCGAAGGGTGCGGTAGTGTGGGCCCGTGTGATATGGATCCGGGCAAAGATAAGGGCCCGTGCAGCAAGTATTCGACCTGCTACGGGCTTCAGCTTCTGATTAAGCATTTCGGTTCTTGTAAGAATAGGGTTAATGGAGGAGGATGTTGGCGGTGTAAGAGAATGTGGCAGCTTTTTAGGTTGCATTCATCCATTTGTGATCGATCTGACGACTGCAGAGTTCCTCTGTGCAGGTAAATGAGAGAAACTTCAATTGATATCCGTTTATGTAATTGCTTGTAAGATCGATTCTTGAATAATAATAATTCGTATCTCTTGGAAAGGTGAGATTTCTTTTTTATCTAAAAAAACTCGTCGTCGTTTTGTCACAGGCATTTCATGACAATAGAAGATCGAAGAGGAAGCGATGTGCGATGGAGTTTACTCGTGAAGAAGGTGGCTTCGGTCAAAGCTATGTTGACTATCCCCAAGAGGAAGAGAGAAGATGAACTAAGAATGGATGTGGACCATCAAATAATGAGAAGCTCGAAATTACAAAATGTGGCTCCATAAAATAAAATAGATTACTTCAGGTTCGAATGTAAAATTTTGTTTATATGTTCAATACAATCTGTGAAATTCTAGCCATTTTTGTACTTAATTGTTAGCTCTTATAATCATGTTGATCTATTTTCCTCTGTTTTGTAGGTATTTGTTTGCGTTGAAGTTTCACGTGCAGCACTCGGTAGACGTGTAACATAATTAGGACTGTAAAGTATTGGTACAAACGCGTGATTGTTCAAGATTGTTTGATTTTTTTTATCGAGCTTCAAAAATTGTTTTTGAACTTAGTTTGGTTAGCAACTAATCGAGCTTGAAAGATTTTTAATCAGCCAATTTTTTTTTAAAGAAGCTTTAATTGAACCGCAAATGATTCGAACTGGAGCCAAACTTCGTATCTTATTGAACAAAAAATAAGAAGAAAAAAAAACGAGATTCGACAAATATGCAAACATTATATAGCAGTGGAACTATAAACATAAAGAATTCAAGAGAAAAAACATGTACATGTATGTCTTGTTCCAATGAAACTAAATCTAATGATCAAATTCTACTTCCCACATTGATTTTTATCACCAAGAGCAGAATCGTTATGCACCGTGCTACGGAATATATACACCCTCCAATACGAACATCTTTACTAGACTCCTAATCTCAAACGCTTATACACAATGCTGAACTCTTCGTAATTTCTGCTGAGTACCTGATTTCATCCATGAGCAATAATCGTTAAGGAAATCATAAATCCAAACGGGCTTTGATGTTAATCGGGCTTCATCAAACCAAGAATAGAGCAATCAAGACCAAATACAAATGTTGCCATTCTTATCAGAGGTAGCCAAAGGCTTGCCAAGATTACTCCACGAGCAGCACAAAACAGGCGAAGTGTGCTCCGTTAAAGTACTCACAATCTTTGCACTTTTCACCGACCATATATTCACCGAGCCCTCAGCAGATCCAGCGGCAACATAATCATCATCTGGGCTCATACAAGACCTGCTCCAATTCGACGCCACTCTACTCCCATTCCCTCTCAAAGTCGCACATATTTCAAGCGTGCGCATATCGAATAAGTTGTGCAGGTTATCTCTCCCACTAGACAAAATCACGTTCCCGTTTCTTGATAATGATAGAGACGTAACTGCAAAAGAATGAGCTGCCACTTCGCTTATCAGTTTCCCTGTCTGAATATTCCATAACCGAAGATTCCCATCTACATGGCCCGAACAAATGGTCTGTCCATCCATACTAAGACAAAGTGCGTTACAATTGCTGTGGAATAATATCGTGTTCACACAGTAGCCTCTCTGAAGGTCCCACACTTTAATCGTCCGGTCATATGCAGCACTCACAACGTTGCGGTTCGAGACTTTGCTGACATCAACGGCACAGACTTTGTCCACGTGGCCGGTTAATGTGTGCCTTACCCTACCCGAACTTACATCCCATACATACAAATTGTTCGAACTGCTTGCTGCAATTACGGATTTTTTATCGTGGGTAATGCAGAGATCGAGAACTGAACCAAGACAACCATGGAGAGTGCGGGTTAATGAAGCTGTGTTTGTGTCCCACATTTTGACAGTTTTGTCTTGTCCTCCACTAACTAATTTACCGGAATTATGCTCGAATAATATGGAGGCACAGCCACCTTCGTGGGCTGGGATTCTTTGTCTGCATGTAGTGGGAACTGTTGACTCAGCGTAGTACTCGGCACCTTCTTCACATTGGCGGACAACACCATCGACTTGTTGACGGGCAAGAAGCTCTATGCTTGTTTCCTTTTGGCGATCCACCATTTCTTTATAAATAGCATTTGCCTAATAAAGAAAAATGAATAGTAATTAAGATGCTAGAATAGTAAAATAAGTTTTAATTTAAATAACAAGAAACATTGAAAAACAAAACGAGCCGCATACTAGTTGAAACTCTATAGATTGTTCATCCAGAAAAATGGTTCGAGTTCTCGTGCCACGTCAGGAGTTGGAGAATCCACTTACAAATCTCTGTTCTCTATTCTTGATTGTATTATAAATTCGATTATAAGCAAAAATAGAACCATTCAAAATTTTGAATTTATTTCAACTGGTATCTCCTTTTTTACATGATGCTACTTAAAAGTCATAAAAAATCTAGACCCCCATGTACTTAATATTTACTAAAATTTAAAGCCCACACCATTGTATGATACACCGTATAAAGATAAATACATTTACTGTCATTACTTCTGTTGTGTTTTTTGTAAGGAATAAATAATCTTCCACTTGCCAAGATTCCAACTTAATCATAGCCTATATAAGAAAGTAAGAATAAACGATGATTTTACAGAAGCAACCAAAGATACCTCGTTCATGCGTTCAGCATCTTTCATCTTCTCCAACATCCAACGGTCAATTAGCATCTTATTTTCAGCCTCTGCATTGTCAGCTCTAAGAGTGGTTGCTTCAAACTGTTCCTTAAGTTCCTGGTGCTCACTCATCAACAGTTCTAGAGCCTTAGTCTTTTCTTCCAACAATGTTGCTAAACGGGAGCACTCATCCCTGCAAACAAGTACGAGTTATGCAGGTTTTACTACCGTAGATAGAGAAGGGGTGAAGATTGAATTTGAAGATAAACCTTGCTTGAGTAAGCTCATTTTGCAAGTCAGATATCAGAGAATCTTTCTCTTGTACTAAAGCTTTCGAAGCTCTGGAGTCAGTGACTTCCACCACAAGTTGTTCTGTTAATCGAGATTGAGCTTTGTAACATTGCTGGAGCTCGACTTCGAGATTTTCAGCCTTTTCTTTCCACTCCGAGCCCTTTAAAAGTACACAATTAACAGACATTAGCGGAAAATCACACATTACCAAATTATTATGGATATCGACATTTTCTTCAACTCTGAGCCCTTAAAAGCACAAATTCAGAAATTTATCCCTATCTTAATGAAAAAAAAAAGTTTTACACACTAAATGTATACATGTGATTTGTAACTACGCTAGTAGAAATCGCATCAAAACTTCTCATTAACATGGATAAGTCATCAACCGAATAATCTGAGATCCATGGAAGGACTTAAAATACACAAAATTTTAAATCAATAGAAGTTAGCTATTATATACCTTGATAAATCCAACCAATAGAATCCAGAATCACACACTTACAGATCCATTACCATAAACCACAAGTAAAAGTCTTCTTTATTTTGTTTATATATATTAGACATGGCATTACTGAACATCTGACTTCTTACCTAAAATCCTATGTTCATCCCGCCTTCGATTACACCAAATATCGTAGCACGGTTCAAATTCCACTTAATCCAACGCAATATGAGACGAATAGACACCTTCCCAGAGCATGTACAGAGTCATAACAACCCTCGTATATAAACCTAGACCGATAAACTTATGCCACAAGCTGAGTGTTCAAAGAGAAAACAGTCTATCATACTAAGTCTTCGAAACGCCAAGCTATGCTGCTATTACAGTATAAGCCTAGCATCGGTGTCAAACTAATCATTCTCTCTCTATGCTTAGCTAATGATGGTTACGGTGATAATCCGCATACACGAATCTTAAAAATACCAATTTCAACAAACATCATTTGCAACAAAGAAGTAAGTCAATGCCACTACCACAAAAACAATGCCGGAGCCGAATTCGAGTACAAAAAAATCAAACAAGAACAATTAAACCCTAATCTGAGTAAACCTGAGACACAATCGGGCGAGAGAGAGCGATTATAGCAGGCGAATGAGCGCCCTCTTCCAGTAAATGCCGCTTCTTCAGAGCTTTCAAAGCGTGTTTTATTGCTGCAATTGCTGCATCTTCTCGCGACCTGAAAACCAGAGAAAAAATCAAAGCGAGAAAAGAAACAAAAAAAAATGGCGAATCAATCATCGTCGACTACTAAAAACCCCAACCAGAAAACAAAATTAATCAGGCACAGAAACAACACTGAACATCATCAAGTCAAGCTAAATACTTTGAAGAAGAAGAAAAAAAAAATTACATTTGAGCTGTGAATTTGGTGGATTTGTGTTCTAGGGATTTGATGGATGATGATTGTGATGAGTAAAAGAGAGAGAAGATTTTGATAGATTTAATAAATAGTTTTGTTGCAGAAATTAGTGATGGATTTGTTTTTCAAGTTTATAAGGAAAAAAAATTGGAAGAAGAAAAATTAGTTTGCTTGTGAAAGGGAAACTTATTGAATCGCTATAGTTACGGGCTGTGATATTGCACTTGACCCGACCCGACCCGTTTTATGAAATTTGAGCCCCCTCTAAATTCTACAATATCTTTTTTTTTTTTTTTTTAATTGTAATGAAATTAAAGAAAATATATATCTTTTTTAACCCATATATTATATAGTTAAAACTCTATAAAGTAATATATTCGGGACCAGCAAAATTTTATTAATTTAAAAGAAAAATTAATTTATTAAATTAATAATTTAGTATGTTTTTTACCGAGTCAGGACCCGAAAGAATTTATTATTTAAGCAAGGTTATTAATTTATCGAGTTTGTACTGTAAGTCAAAGTTGGATCCATTTTTCAAAATTCTTCTTATTCGCATGTTTCTTAAATTTTTCAAATTAAATATCGAAAAGGGGAAAAAATAATCAAGAGCTTCACTTTTTGACAAAGAAATGTCACTCTATTTTGTAAATTCTTCTTCTAAACTATATTTGTATAAATAAATTTAGAGAGAAGAAAAAAAAAACAGAGAGAGAAGCACGCGAATAATTAGATTCTACACCCGGTTATTTAATTATTCTACACCCAGTTATTGATAGTTAACTGTAAATTTGCAAAGAATCACACACGCTCATGAGTATGTGTACTTAGTGGAAAGTTATTTAACCTCATCTACAGTTAAGAGTTCCTAAAGTATTAATTTTCTTGATCATTCACGCAAATTTATTAGCGTTCTTAATCCGAACCTCGTAAAATTTTGGCATCTGAAAAAAAAAAAAAACCATCTTCACACATAAAATCATAGAAAACCAGCCACACTTTCCAAATAACAGCCAAATTATATATCCAACTATACCCCCACATTTCATTTTCTAATAAAATCAACAACAACAAAAAAAAAAAAAAAAAAAAAAAAAAAAAAGGAAAATATACCAACCGAAATTTCAATAGCCAAAAGTTTACACAAACCAATCACCATAACTTAAACCAATCCTATTGCTTTTATTGCCTTGTTCATGCAGCTCTTACCCTCTCAAGCCAATCCACACTCTTCCTCCCTTTCTCAAACTGCACGTCGACACTCATTCTTGATTTCTCGTGGTACTCGACGCTCCTTCTAGATCTTTCCATTTGATCGAACGAGGCTCTCAATTTTGAAAGCTTGTCGTCGTTATGAAACTTGTAGTCGAACGTTTTTAGTTTCTCCGGCCTATCGGTGCTCCGTCTAGGTTTCTCTCTCCTGTCTGTGCTCTTTCTCGGAGCTTCGATAAAATCGGTGCTCCTTCTAGAATGTTCGGGACGCTCGACGCTCCTCCTCGACATGTTCCTTTGTGAGGGAGGTTTCTCTACGGTGGATACATACTTCTTTAGGTGCTTGATATACTCCGGATAAAGTTCCAAATCGCAGTGGTTTCCACCTTTTATCCACAAGGGCTCGTATTTCTCTTGACAGAGCTCGTAAAGCTGTTTTCCGTGGGAGTAATCAACAACATCATCCGAAGTGCCCTGCATAAATCAACGTATGGATCGTCAATTAATTATTTTACTTGATAATCGGAAAAAAATTACAAGAAAAATGTTTTACTTACATGAATAACTAGAACAGGGCACTTCACCAACGGGATTTTGTCAATGTTCTGCATAAAATCAATCAACGTAAAAAATCATGTTTAAAGACAAGAAAGTACCAAATTAATATCAAAATACGACAAAATTGATTTTTACCTTATAAATGTCAAACCAATATGTCCTCTTCACAGGGTACATAACCCTTAATCCCGATAAAATAGGGCTATGCAAAACAACTGCCTTTAGACGAGGCAAACGAGCTGCAAGATCGACAGTAGGACCACTGCCAACAGATTGACCGTATAGGATTATGTCTTCTTGCTTAGCTCCATAGCTCTCTTCAAGACACTTGTATGCAGCTTCGATATCCGCGTAAGTATTGTGCTCACTTGGCTGCAGAATACACAAAACGTACAAACTTTGAACGACTTATTAACGAGAGTAAAAGAATCTTTTTTTCATGAAAAGGCATGAGCTGGTACCTTTCCGGTTGATTGGCCATAACCTGAATAGTCGTACCTGCAGAGATAATGCACGTAAGACACTTCTGAAAAAATATATGGTAATATCAAAATGAATAAGGTAGCTTCCTCTGTTTTTAACATACGTACAGAAAGGCAGTCTAAAATGAATGTTAGAAGTTTTAAAGTAACTAATATTCGATTCTACGCCCCTGTAATTAACCTTTTCTTGTGCGCTCACAAGCACTTTTGATAAGTTCTCCAAATTCTCGATTTTGAGACCCATTAAATCTCTCTTAGCAAAAGAAATAAAATGTCTACAAGGGATTATAACGCGTCGGGTTTTAGAATTTAAGCCCACACAACCCCATCTCTCTTTCTCTCTCTCTCTCTCACACACACACACACACACAATTCTAAATGCATCCTGCACCAAAAGACGCAGAAGCATACGTGGTAATAATACTTCACCCAAACAACCCAACACGGTAATATAATTTATCGGTGAGAAGTGAAAACCGATCCGCGAAATTGTAGTTAGCAAGATTATCGAGATCAAGATTTCCAACAGTCAATGATCTCAAACAGTATATGTAGTAGGATGCTCAAGCTATGGCCAGTGGCCACCATTCCCAAATCTTCGAAAGAAGAAATTTTTCCAACTACTTTTCAACAGTCAATACTTGCCTACCCTCACAAGCACACCACATTAACCAAATCAAAATAAAAATCGACAAAATTTGATCTCCATTTTCGATTGTCCGTAACTTAGACGAAATCTAGTTCATAGCCACAATTGCCACAAAAAATAAATAAAGAAAAATAAAATTCTCCCAGAAAAGTTATGCAGATAAGCATCAAACTTACCCCCACTGATCCAACTAAGCTAACAACTCACACTGTTGCATATGCATATAATATAATAATGCACAAAATACACTTTAAAAAAAAATACCTAATTAATTAGCTATCTGTAATTACAAATTATTAGGCATCAATCGCATCAAAAAGTATCATATTCAATCAAAGATAACAGCTAATAAGACAATTAAACATCAATTAACTGGAAAAAGCTGAGGAAATTACCCTAAGAGATTAACCCTGAGGTGAATGCTGAGCTCGATAAACAGCTCGTACATCTGGCCGATGTCCGCCGCGTTGCCGTGCGAGTACAGCAACGTGGAACTCGCCATGGGGTACCTCACGTACACGGCGACGATTTCCGTGCCCCGCCGCGTCGGGAGCTTCAAAACGTCGACGTTCTCGCGGTGCGGGAACGGCTGCAGCAGCAGCAGCCCCGTGGCGTCGTCGGTAACCACCTTGTAGCTCGCCGGAGTCGGCGGAAAAAACGCCAACTTCGCCGCCATCGATGACGTCACCCCGCCCATCTCTCCCTCTCCCCCCCGCTCTGTCTAAGTTATTTTGCCTCCTTATTTTCAGAACACTGTAACTGTATCTATATGTTGAAAGAGAAAATTATATACGTGTGGCCGAGTGTGTGTGAGAGAGAGAGAGAGAAACTGTACAGAATTGTATAGAAGAAGGTAAAGTAGAGAGAGAGATTGGTAAAGGGAAAGTTTTGGGTGTGGAGTTTGAGGAGAAATTATGATACTATTACCAGCGGTGATGTTTACTGTTCGTCAAAGCATGGCCACATATGCAAATTTCCTTTTTTTTTTCTTCTTCTTTTTCTTTTTGCAACTTTTTTTTTATAATTATTTTTTAATATATAATTTTGAATTCCATTTTTTCTTTTTTGACATTCTATTGCAATATAGATTAATTTTGAATTATTTTATATAAAATAATTTTAAAGCAATAATATAGATTTGCAATAGAGTACTAACCTCTTAGTAGTTTATAATTTTGTTGCCACATAAATATTCAATAATAATGAGGGCGAAATCGGTAAAAGTGTTTATATGTTTTGAAACTATAAAGCGACACGAGAACATAAAAGAAAATATAGATCATAACATTTTACCACCACAAAGTATTTGTTGACGAGAAAAATACAATTTTCGTTTCTTAAGTTTGGACTGATTTCACATTTGGTCATCCATGTTCACGAAAATATACATTTGGTCCTTTTATGTTTCAATAATTAACATTTTTGGTCTTTTTCGTCAATTTACCATATCCGTCAGTTAAGGCATTGATGGGCACACACTTGATTGTGTTAGTACTAACGAAAAATTGACAGAAACGACTAAAAGTGTTGAATTTTTTAAACATGAGCAAATAAATTTGTTTTTTTTTTTTTTTTTTTTTGAAAATAGAGGACCAAATGTAAAATAGGTGCAAACTTGAGGACCAAATTAAGTGTAATTTTTCCCATGTGTTAACTATTGAATTAACCCCTTAAAATGGTCAAATTTACCCCTAGCTAGATTAATGAGCTGGTTCCCAGTTGTGGGGATTAGCAAAATGAATGTGGCTTCACATGTTTGTCATCTTAGAATATTTGTTCTTGTTTCTATACAATAATAATTAATTAATTAATTAATTAATTAATTAACTAATGCATAAATAAATAAAGAAAAAGAAAAGCTCTACCCTCAAAGTATGCATATTTTAAAGGTCCCACAAAGTGACCCTAATGATTTTTACATGCCTACCCCCCAATAATTATTTGTTCTTATTCTTTATGTGTAACACCTTTAAATTATCATTATGTATAATTATTTTATTTTATTTTTACCAATTTTGCAACTTATCAATTATTGCAAATAGAAAAATAGAAATTACAAAATTAAGGGAAATTATTTTTTGTACATTGTAATGCATCACAAAGTGGGGAAAAGTGTTGGTGAATATGAAGACACTTCCCTCTAATTAAGAAAAAAAACAATAGCTCACATGTCATCTGCTGGATTTCCTCTTTAATTAATTACAATTATAGATTAATTAAGCTGAGATTAGGGGATGTTAGAAGGTTCCAATCTTGATAATATATATGTATGATAGTTTTATATAAATTTGAGTTGAATTTGAAAGAAAAAAATGAGCTGTTTTAGTTGTCCAATATGCTAATCCCAAAGTTGTAATTTTATTTCATTTAATTAAGCCGCATAAGATCGAGTGATTAATCCTTAATAATTTCATAATACATGGATCTATGTTGACTGTACAATCGTCTCACTGAGTTCAAGTATTAACTATAATTATATTTATACATGACCTAGTTGGTGGGGAAGAGAGTTCTTTATATATATAAAGAAAAGGTGTAATTATATTTAATCAACAATGAAATTAGTCATGAATTAAATTAAATCGATCTAAATTATAAAGTTTACTATTTGCTTTATTATTAAGGTGTTCAAATTTGGTGAGATAATAAGTAAATTTTGAAATAATTTACTTATTTATAAGTTGAAGGTGTCTGTAAATATCATTAGCCATCGACTTTAGTGGTTAATTCATATCAACTTATTTTGATAAATCAGTCTTAAATGCCCTAACACCTGTGTCGAGTGCAACTTTAAGCCCATGGCTATTGCAACAATATTTTTAGGGAAAAAATACAGTTTTCGTCACTTAAATTTGCACCGATTTCATGACTGGTCCCCTATATTCACAAAAAACACATTTGGTCCATCATGTTAAAAAAAAGGCAATATTTTTAGTCATTTCCTTCAATTTTTCGTTAAAACTAACGGAATCAAGCGTGTTCCCAACAATGACTTAACTGACATACTAACAGTAAATTGACGGAAATGACAAAAAACGTTAAATTATTGGACCGTGAGGGACCAAATGTTTTTTTTTTTTTTTTTTTTGTGAATAAAGAAGACCAAATGTGAAATAAGTGCAAACTTAAATGATGAATACTATAATTTTCCCATACTTTTTATATTATAGGTTAAAACATCTTATTTTTAATAGAACTAAAATCGAGAATTACATATGCAAACACTTCAAAATCGATTAAAATTGTTTATAAAACTCTCACAAATTGTTTATAAAGCACAGGAGATTATACCATAAATCAAAATATTTATATAATTAAATAAGATTCTATTTTAAAAATAAATACTTCTTTTTATGGAAAAGAAAAAGTACTAGATGGGGGGTAAGATTGTCAGAAGTTTGTCTAGGGATTAGTGTCACCAAAACATGCTATTTTTCTTTGGATTGGATTGGTTGGACCACAAAAACCCGTTTTGTTTGTTATTTCAATGAAAGTTACAATTCATAAAAGCGTGTTTGATACAATTCATAAATCGTGTTTTATTGTGGGCCTGGATTTTGCTTTTAACCCTTTTTCTATTGTTTTCACGTGTGTGTGTTGTACCCAGCAGGCCCAGCCCTGCTTGGGAACACGCTTGGGCTTTGTCGGCTATTATTGGATCACTACTAATCATTTGTTATTGGATATTCCTTTTTTTTTTTTTTTTTCTTTTTTATTTACGATTTGTTCTGTACTACGCATGATGAACTATATATCAAATTATATCGTATCGTACCATACACGCGTATTATTTTCCATGCTACTACACCCATTTAATTCATTGGGTTATATTGTATTACGCACACACATAGGCGTGCATGTTTTACATACTTTCATGTATATCCGTGTGTGATTGTGTATAAATTAGAGGTGAAAAACTAGCGTTTACGAGATCCAAATGTATGAATTTATACATAGAAAACACATGCACACATGATTTCTTGTGATGGTATGGTACACTATATACATGTAGTTTATGGGACTAGGGTTAAAGTAGATGATTTTGGGCTATCAATTGTATTCACAATTTAATACATCTTTATTAATATAGTAAAATTTATTCTCTTCGTTCATTTGGTTATCTTCAACTTAATTCCACTCTGCACCTTAAGATATGTAGTGCTTTGGTACTTTACACTTTTAGAAAATCTACAACATTTTGTACTATCGAGAAGTCGTAAATCATTTATAATGCATCTTAAATTGAGTTTGTGAAAGTTAATAAAGATATATTTGTCTTTTAATTGTGAAATTTTTTGACACCCACGCATCTTTTAACACACACATACTCACACCTTTGACACGCACATAAACTCACTCTTGTACGCACTTTTGACACAAACACACACACACACACTCCGACACGCTTGTAACACACACATACACATACCTTTGTCGCACACATAAACTCACACTCGCACACACTTTTGACACACACACACAAACACACTCCGACACACTTGTAACATACACATACACATACACATACACATACACATACACATACACATACACATACACATATACACCTCTGACACGCATATACACACTATACACACTTTTAATACACAGATACACATACTCACATCCGACACACTTTTCACCACACACACTTTTGACACAAATATATACACACAGTTACACAAAACTTTTACAAAACTACCACTTATCAAGTAATTACATAATTGTCATGCACCAAGTAATTACAACAGTACCACTCAATAGTAATTACACAACTTCCATTCATTAAGTAATTCCAGAACTACCACTCAACAAGGTAGAATAAACTAGGGGTTTGGATAAAAAAACGAAAAGAGAAAAAAGGAGAAGTGAAAAAAGAGAGAAGGAGAAAAATCGACGATATTAAGATTCTGTAAATGTATAATGGACAATTTAAATTTATAAAAAAAGTTAAGTAAATACATAGGAGCATGGTTATCAAATCGTAAATCGAATCGAAAATCGTTTTGTCAAAATTGCGAATCGTAAATCGTAACGAATCGTAAATCGTAAGATTTATTAAATTTTATTAAAATATTAATATATTAAATAATGTATACTTATTTACGAGACATTGTATAATATTAACAACATATATATATATATATATATATATATATATATATATATATATATATATATATATATATATATA